ACCAACCACAAAAAAAGTAGTAAAATTGGATCAATCTTGTGAGTGCCTTGACTTAGAACTATCATGATTTAGAACACAAATTCTGTCTACCATGACGGTCATAAGTCGAGGACCACCTGTGTACTATAGATAATGTAAATTCTTATCTTTTGTTCATGTTTTTCACTCTGCCTGCTTGCTTTCTAACCTCGTTTTCCCACTTACGGCTTTTGAGCTTTGCTGATGTTTTAATAAACAAAGAAGTTTCATTTTTGCTAGTTAATCTGAACTGTGCCCATGTGTTTACTCTCATCTGGATTTAGGGATTGCGTGGGAATGTGCTGGGAGAAAGATAAACTGAAAGTTAGTAATTTTCCAACAGGCCTAGGCTTGCAGAAGGCATAAATAGAGGGATTTATAGTCTTTTTAAACACAGACAAGATATCTTACTGGTGTAGCTAAGGGTTTCCCTGAAATCTCAATTTATATTTCTCACTTTTTATGAATTTCAAAGCCTGGTGGAATCCCAATACAAAATTATGCATCTTTCTTTCATCACATTCATCAATGAAATTATGAGTTTTTTTAAAAATCATTACAGTAAACCATTTTGTGTACACCCACAATTTTGGACTGTGCATTTTTAAAACTTTTTTTTTTTTTTTTTTGCCTTAAATTTCCTGACAGCACAATGAATCAGTGGAATGATTTGCCTCCAAAAGTTATGGATGTTCCAACACGAGAAGTTTTTAAGAAGAGATTGGACAACCATTTGTGTGAAATGATATAGGACCGTGATGGCGAACCTATGGCACGCGTGCCGTAGGTGGCACCCGGAGCCATATCTGCAGGCACGCGAGCCATTGCCCTAGCTCAACTCCAGTCAGCTGATTTTTGGCTGCTCCTCCCCTCCCAGGAGTTTCCATGCAGCCCGTTTTGGATGTCAGGTAAGTACAGGGCTCACAAGGAGGCTCTGGGAGGGCGTTTTCGGCCTCCGGGGGGGGGATTTTTGCCCTCCCCAGGCTCCAAGAAAGCCTCTGGAGCCTGGGGAGTGTGAAAAATGAGCCTGCCGGGCCCACCGGAAGTTGGGAAATGAGCCATTTCCAGCCTCCAGAGGGCCTCTGGGGGGCGGGGGAGGCCGTTTTTGCCCTCCCCATGCTTAGGGTTGCCAGGTCTGCTTCCAAAAAATAGCGGACAAGCGGGGGGGGGGCAGTTAAGTAGTAAAAAAAAAAAATTTACAATTAAATTTTATATTTTCTTACAAACAATTTACAGTAGGCCGTCGTATTTGTTCTGTCGGTTTCGTTGTTGGTAATCCATGCAAAAGTAGCTTCCCAGTCTTTGGTGTATTTGCACACTCCTCTCTTTCGTTTTAAAGAATTCGAAATCTCGCCGCTGTCACTCTCATCACTCGACGCCATTTTAGGTCAGTCGACACAAGCTACAATACATTTTAAAAATGTGAACTGTACATAATTTTATAATATATTTTTATTTTAATCTCATCATTCATTTTTTCGGAGAATCGAGTTCAATGGATATTCGATCTTTGTCTCATTCTAACTTATGAATAAAAAGACAAAACGCGATTCTCCTATCCTTATTCTCTTAGACTGTATAGCTTTAGATTACGTACCATTTCATCATAAAGCTTTTGAATAAAAAAAATGTCCACTATTTTGTGAAAAAAAATAGTGAACATAATGTGAAAAAAGCGGACTGTCCGCTCAAATAGTGGACACCTGGCAACTCTACGCCATGCTCCAGAGGCTTTCTTGGATAAGGTGACCAGATTTTAAGATTAGTAAAGAGGCTTATTTTGTGGGCGTGGCTAGCTGGTCATGTGACTGGGTGGCCGTGGCTACCTGGTCATGTGACCGGGTGGCCATGGCTATGTGTATAGGGACTACTCAGTGGGCTGAAAAAAGTCGTTTCTGACAGGTCCTCGCACTTTTGACTGGTCCTCACACTTATGACCATCCTCACATTTATGCCCGTGCAGCATTCTTAACAACCATGTCACTCATTTCACAACTGCTTCTCTTCACCATGGTGACAAGATAGGGCAAAAAACGTAAAATGTGAAGACAGTCGTAAGTTCGAGGACTGGTCAAAAGTGCGAGGACCAGTCAAAAATAACTTTTTCAGCCCTCTGAGTAGTCCATATGCATAAAAGGATACAGCAATAGAGAGGGATGAAGGAAGGGAAGGGAAATTAGAGTAGGAGTGAGGGTAAGAGGGGGAGGAAGAGAGGAGGAGAAGGAGAAAGGAAGAGGAAGTAGGGAGGAGGAGAAGAGGGGGGAAGAGAAAGTAAGAAGGAAAGAAAAGAGAGAGGTGGTAGGTTTGAGGAGAAAGATTGCTGTACAATAAAAAAGATGAAAGGGAAGAAAGCCAACCCCAAACAAATATAAAGATATTAAGATAAAGAATGACTGGTTAAACTTTAAAGAATAAAAGAGAACAAATATGAATAAATAGCAGTAATTAGAAACACACATACAAACATACAATGTATTTTCTGTGAACAGAGTATTTGGCCGGTTCACAAATTTAAACAGTGTTTAGTCACTTCAATTAAATTTACAATTTCTATATTTCCTTTTTGCCATATTTATTCCTCATCTATTTTTTTTAAAAAACCAATATTACCCTTCATCCTCATCTCTAATCTTAATCAAATTCAATTTTTCCCTTCTATTCTATATTATACCCCTTCCCATTGTCATCTATTTTTATATCCATCCTCACATTGTTTAATTATGTAATACAGTTTTTAATACAAATTCAACATTTTAATATAAATCAATTAGTTATAAAACTATCTTTTTTGTATATTAATCAATATGAACATGAATATTCCAATTATTTCCATGCAATCCAATTTCTTACAAATCAATTAATTATATTACCAATAATAATAAACCAAATAATTTCCCCCATATATTCTTCTGAACCACAACTTAACCATTTCTGCTTTCAACACAATATACAATTAATAGTATCTCAATTATTACGATTCCCTAGTTAAATACAGCTTTTTTTTCTTTTGTGTTTTAAAATCTTGAACTCTCCTCCTAAATTTCCCATTGTTTGCAGTTTTTCACCTACCTTTTTGGGGGAGGAAAAATAAAAATAAAAATAAATCTCTCTCTGCCTCATTTTGTCACGTTGCACCAAAGATCCTGGTTTCGGTTTCGTTTCTGCAGCTTAGCTAGGGGAAAAAAAACTGCTTCAGGAACTCTTTACACTGATTGCCTGTAGGGCGGCCCTTTGAAGCCCCGGGCAAGAGTTTAAACAGTTTTTTTTTCTTCTAGCCATCAGCTGGGGCTCAAGAGGCAGCGGGACTCAGGAGGCAGAATGAAAAATCGGGACTTTTTTGAAACACCGCGGGACGCGGGACAAATTGCTAAAAATCGGGACTGTCCCGCCAAAAGCGGGACGTCTGGTCACCTTATTCTTGGAGCCTGGGGAGGGCGAAAAACAGGCCTTCCAGGCCCACCGGAAGTCGGGAAATGAGCCGTTTCCGACCTCTGGAAGCTTCAGGGAGGCCTGCTAGGCCCAAAATGGAGCGCAAGGGGGCATTGAATTACACATGTGGGCACGTGGGCATGCGACCCCCTGCACTCCCCCCCGCTTTTGGCACGCGACGGCAAAAAGGTTAGCCATCACTGGTATAGGATCTCCTACTTGAGTAAGGGGTTGGGCTAGAAGACCTCCAAGGTGCCTACTACATTTTATAATGGAATAATTTGGGTTGCCACGTTGTAAAAAAAGATGTTGAGACTCTAGAAAGAGTGCAGAGAAGAGCAACAGAGATGATTAAGCTAAAAAAACATCCAAAGAACTAGTGTTGCCAGGTGTCCACTATTTGAGCGGACAGTTCGCTTTTTTCACATTATGTTCCCTATTTTTTTTTTCACAAAATAGTGGACTTTTTTTTTATTCAAAAGCTTTATGATGAAATTAAAATGTAATTTAATATTTTACATATTATTATAATAATATATTTGATGTTTTGAATTTTAAGTAAAGTTTTGAGGTGATTATTTTAATACGTGTTAAAATGTTTGTAAGAAAATATATAATTTAATTGTAAATTTTTTTTTATTTTTTTACTACTTAACACACACACACACACACCCGCTTGTCCGCTATTTTTTGGAAGCAGACCTGGCAACCCTACAAAGAACAGTTGCAGGAATTGGGCCAGGGGTGAAATCCAGCAGGTTCTGATAGGTTCTGGAAAACCGGTAGCAGATATTTTGAGCCGTTCGGAGAATACCACCTCTGGCAGGCCTCAGAATGGGGTGGGAATGGGGATTTTGCAGTATCCTTCCCCTGTCACGCCCACCAAGCCACGCCACGCCCACAGAACCGGTAGTAAAAAAAATTGGATTTCACCACTGAATTGGGCATGTCTAGTTTAATGAAAAGAAGGACTTGGGGAGACATGATAGCAGTCTTCCAATATCTCAGGGGCTGCCACAAAGAAGAGGGAGTCAAACTATTCTCCAAAGCCCCTGAGGGCAGGACAAGAAGCAATGGATGGAAACTAATCAAGGAGAGAAGCAACCTAGAACTAAGAAGAAATTTCCTGACAGTGAGAACAATAAATCAGTGGAAAAACTTGCCTTCAAAAGTTGTCTGTGCTTCATCATTGGAGGTTTTTAGAAAGAGAGAAAGAGACGGGATAGCCACTTGTCTGGAATGGTATAGGGTCTCTTGCTTGAGTAGGGGGTTGGACTAGAAGACCTCCAAGGTCCCTTCCAACTCTGTTACTCTGTTTTGTAATTTGATTACAAGTGATTTTCCTGGTTATTTTCGTGCAATGTTTTATAATAAAGAAACTCACGTGCCGTATTTCTTTTAATGCTTTGGCAACCTTATCTATTTCAGAAAATCAAATATTATTCCGTCTTAAGAATTGCCCCTGCCTTCTGTCCGTCCCCAGCCACGCAATAATCACGCTATTATTGGATATTTAAATATGGTTTATGGTTTTTGTCTCTGTGGTTGGAACGGTGTGTCTGTCTCCATTGCCTAGTTACTAGAGGTGCTCAAATATAGCAGGCATACAAACAGGTGAAAAGAAAAAACAAAAGACGAACTCATGAGATCTGGGACTGCAGATATCCACAGCTCAGGTTAGATTCCCGTGGATCAATCCACTGGCATATAGATTTGGGGGGGGGATCTCCCCAGTAAGTAATCTGTAAATTTTGATTTGGTGACATTCGCATCCCTTCATCTTTTAGATCTGAATCTCCTCGCTGCTTGCTTTTCCTTCTTGCCACTCAACGTGGTTTATTTTAAAATCTGAAGTTTTTAATGATGACTGCACGGAAATATATCGGTCAACGGCTTCGTCTCTTTCCAGCGGCTTTGTGACAGGTGAGGAGTGAAAATTAGAGTTAGGCTCCAAAGCTGACAGGTGAATTGTTTGATCCCAACCAACGGGACAGGATCCTTAAAAGGAGGCAGCAGTTAAAAGTTTTAGTGTCCTAAAATTCATCTGCTGAGAAATTGGCCATTAACTCTTTCTGGTCAAAATTTGCCCTCCAACTCTGGGCATGATGAGGGTCTATATACAGGTAGTCCTTGACTTACAACCATTCATTTAGTGACCGTTCGAAGTTATAGTGACACTGAAAGAAGTGAGTTATGACCATTTCTCACACTTGTGACTGTTTCAGCATTCCCACGGTCACGTGATCAGAATTTGGATGCTTGGCAACTGACTCATATTTATGACGGTTGCAGTGTCCTGGGGTCATGTGATCACCTTTTGCAACTTTCTGACAAGCAAAGTCAATGTGGGGAAGCGAGATTCATTTAATGACCAAAGGAAAGAGTTGTAAAATTGGGCATAACTTATTTAATATGTCTGCTTCGCTTAGCAATGGAAGTTCCAATCTCAACTGTAGTCAGCCTTCAGAAGTTGTGGGAGCTTCATCACTGGAAGCTTTCAAGAAGAGACTGGACTGCCGTCTGTCAGAAATGGTGTAGGGTCTCCTACTTGGGCTGGGGGTTGGGCTAGATGACCTATACGGTCCCTTCCAACTCTGTTATTCTGTTCAGCTGATAAAAGAATAAATGTCTTGTTACCTATACTCAAAGATTCAGTACCTTGGTTTGGTTTCCAGAAATGCACATTCGGAATTATAGAAGTGAAAGGGACCTCAAAGGTCATTTAGTCCAACCCTCTGCTCAGTGCAAGAACTGTTGAAGTAGCTGGGCAGACTCTTTGTCATAAATATAATGTGTGAATGTGACATCACCTTGGGCCTCCTGTTTTCCCAGAAACAATTTCTCTCATTTTCCTTAGATAGTAAATATACAGATCAGTGGTGGGTTCCTCCCGGTTCGGCCCGGTTCTCCCGAGCCGGTAGCGGTGACGATATGATGTCACCGAACTGGTTCTCCCCCCGCTCCCCCGCGCCCCCCCTGTGTTCTTACCTTTTATTTGACCCCACCCCCAATCTATTGCTGCCTCCTGAGTCCCAGCTGATGGCTAGAGGGAAAAAAAACTGTTTAAACTCTTGCTGCAAGGCTTCAAAGGGCCGCCCTACAGCTGATCAGTGTTAAAAGAAAACAAATGAGTAGATCAGTGCCTGCAAAAATAAATGGGTAGATCGGTACAGTTCTGCAAGCAGCTAAAAGCCTGGTAGACTAGTACCTCTGCTAAATCCTAAATAATTATCACATGACCATCAAGCCACACCCACAAAATAAGCCACACCCACAGAACCGATAGTAAAAATATTTAGAACCCACCCCTGATACAGATAGTTCTTGACTTAACGACTGAATAGAGACCGGAATTTCCACTATAAGTCATGATACTTTAAGTCGAGGCACCCATAGGACTGGCCTAATTTTCGATCATAAGTGGTCGTTAAGTGAATTAATATGTTTTCATGGACATTTTACGCTGGAAATCAGCCTATAAACCCCACACATTGCATCACGTGGCATTGAATGCTGCAACCAGTTGTAAAGGTGAACCAGTTGCCAAGTGCCCAAAATGGCTCATGGTGTTGGAACTCTGGAACCAGAACATCAGGATCTTTTTTGGGGGGGGCGGAGGCATCATAACTTTGAATAGTTTCTAAGCAGACGGTTGTTAAGTGAGAACTATCTGTACAATTAATCAGTGGAATGAATTGCCTCCAGAAATTGTGGATGTGCCAACACTGGAAGTTTTAAAGAAGAGACTAGACAACCATTTGTCTGAAATAGTATAGGGTTTCCTGCCTGAGCAGGGGGTAGGACTAGAAGACCTCTAAGGTCCCATCCAACTCTGTTGTCCCAAAGGTGCTTTTTCAAAGAGGCAACTGGACTCTCTGGTTTTTCTTTGAAGACGTTTTCAATTCTCATCCAAGAAGCTTCTTCAGCTCATAAGCTTCTTGGATGAGAAGCAAAACATTTTCAAAGAAAAAAACCAGAAAGTCCAATTGCCTCTTGAAAAAGCACCTTTGGAACAGCCGTGACCTGGATAACTGAGAATCTCCTTTGACTTCCAACCCTGTTGTTCTCTATACCCAGGGGTGAAATGCTCCCGGTTCGGACCCGATCACCCAATCCGGTAGCGATGGAGGCAGGTGGTTCGGAGAACCGGTATCAAAAATCCCTGCCCCCCATCCCATTGCCCAGCTGAGCTGCGCAATCATCAGAGGCTTTTTTTATTATTTTTAAAAGCATTTTTTCTACAACCTCTTTGGCCGAAGAGGTTATAGAAAAAATGTTTTTAAAGGGAAAAAAAGCCTCTGCCGGTCAGGCAAGTCAGCTGGGATCGTCAGAGGCTTTAAAAAAAAAAAAGAAAGCCTCTGCTGATCAGGCAAGTCAGTTGGGATCATCAGAGGCTTTAAAAAAAAAAAAGAAAGCCTCTGCTGATCAGGCAAGTCAGTTGGGATCGTGAGAAGCTTTAAATGCATTTTTTTACAACCTCTTCAGCCGAAGAGGTTGTAGAAAAAATGGTTTTAAAAGTTAAAAAAAAAAAAAAAGTTGGCCACGCCACTCAGTCATATTTCACCCCCCACACCAAGCCACACCCACAGAACTGATAATAACAAATTTTATATTTCACCACTGTCTATATCCACTGCAGACCAAAAAGCTTCCTCCTCGGGAAAGATGAAGGCAGCTGCTGTGGGACTTTCAGGCCAAGATTGCCAGGATCAGCTGAAGCTGCCACGCATCATTTGGACCAACCTCGTCTTCCAGGTTCCCCAGCGTAAGATCCCATCCGAAGGTATGTTGCAGTTTCCACCTTGACTGAGCTGTCCGAATGTAGGCTCTGCCTTGCGGTTTCAAAAAGCTAGATGTGAATCTCCAGTGTTGAAAGTTACAGGTAATCTTCCCACTTACAGCCATTCGTTTAGTGACCGTTCAAAGTTACAACGTCACCGAAAAAAATAACTTGTCATGACGGTTTTTCATACTTAACGACCGTGGCAGCATCCTCATGGTCACGTGATTCAAAATTAATCCGCTTGGCAACTGGCTCATATTTATGACGGTTGCAGTGTCCCGGGGAGTGTGTGTCATGTGATCGATCCCCTTTTGTGACCGTCTGACAAGCAAAGTCAATGGGGAAAGCTAGATTCGCTTAACAACTGCGGCAAGAAAGGTTGTAAAATGGGGGCAAAACTCAATTAACCAAAGTCTCGTGTAGCCACATAAATTTTGGGCTCAGTTGTGGTCGTTAGTCGAGAACTACCTGTTACTAGAGAATTAGGTATTGATTGATATTTTGACACTTTGGTTCATTCTGAGGAGTATGTACAGATGAAAAAAGACACAGGATGTGTATCACCCTTCCCTAATTTCACTTCTGTCCAGATGTGTTGAAGTTTAATTTGTATATTCCTTAGCAAAGAACCAGTGTGATATAGATGGTGACATCTGGACCAAGGCTGGGAAAATCGAAGTTCCAAGTTCCCAGCCATGGAGGCTCCTGAGGGATTAGGGCAGTGGTGAGATTCAGCCGGTTCGGGAAAATCAGCTGTTAAATTGCTAGCTGGCCCTGCCCCTGCCCTGCCCCACGCCTTCCAGGAGTTCCCACATGCTCCATTTTGCCTCTCAGGTAAGTGCAGGGAGGCCTACTAGGCCCAAAACAGGGCATGGGGGGTGCAGCACGGCCCTCCCACGACCTATTTTTGCTCCCAAGAGGCTGCCAGGAGGACTATAGGCCCAAAATGGGGCACGCGGGTGGGGGGGTGGCCCGTTTTTGCTCCCAGGAGGCTGCAGGGAGGCCGAGTGCTGCCTGTCACACCCCCTGGCCACGCCCACCATGGCCCCGCCCACCCAGCCAGTCATTAGGGCAGAGAACCGGTTGTTAAATTATTTGAATCCCACCACTGGATTAGGGCCAGACCCTCCCTAACTACGGTAATACTGGGACGTTGAAAAACCTGTTTTATCAACCTTTCCTGGAATAGGGTGGTAGATAAAGGACCATAACTGGCCTTCATCCAGCAGCAGATTGATTGAGCCTGATAATACAGGTAGTCCTCAACTTACAACCGTTCATTTCGTGACTGTTCAAAGTTATGGCACTGAAAAACCCGACATGACCATTTTTCACACTTATGACAGTTGCAGCATCTCCATGGTCAGATGATCAAAATTCAGACACTTGGCAACTGACTCATATTTATGACGGTTGCAATGTCCCCGGGTCATGGGATCCCCTTTTGCGACCTTCTGACATGCAAAGTCAAGGGGGGAAGCCAGATACATTAAACAACTGTGTTATCAACTTAACAATTGCAACGATTCACTTAACTTTGGCACAAAAAGTCGCAAAATGGGCCAAAACAAATGTCTCATTTAGTAGCAGAAATTTTGGACTCAATTGTGGTCGTAAGTCGAGGAGTATAGTAGCAATTCTTTAGCGATCCACCATGGATGAGGAGAGTTGAAGACCTAAACATCTGGAGGGTTCCAGATTACAAAAGAACGATGCAAATAGATAAATAATCCCCCCTCTCTCTTTTCCCCCCCCCCCCCCTCTCTCTCTCTCCCCCCCTCTCTCTTTTCCCCCCTCCCTCCCTCTCTCTCTCTCTCTCTCATTCTTTCCCCCTTCCTCCCCCTCCCTTCCTCCCTCCCTCTTACTCCCCTCCCTCCCCCCTCTTTTCCCCCTCCCTCATTCTTTCCCCCTTCCTCCCTCTCTCCTTTCCTCCCCCTCCCTTCCTCTTTCCCCCTCCCTTCCTCCCCTTCTCTCTCTTTTCCCCCTCCCTTCCTCTCTCTCTCATTCTTTCTCCCCTTCCTCCCTCTTTTCCTCCCCTCCCTTTTCCCCCTCCTCCTTCTCATTCTTTCCCTCCTCCCTCTTTTCCTCCTCCTCTCCTCCCTCCCTCCATCCTCTCTCTTTTCCCTCTCTCTCCCTCCCCCTCTTTTCCCCTACTCCTCTCTTTCCCCCCTCCTCCCTCTCTCATTCTTTCTCCCTCCTTCCTCTCTCTTTTCCTCCCCCTCCCTCCCTCCCTCTCTTTCCCCCCTCTTTCCCTCCCCTTCTCTCTCTTTTCCCCCTCCCTTTCCTCTCTTTCCCCCTCCCTCCCTCCCCCTCTTCTTCTCCTTCCCTCCCTCTCCTTCACTCCCCCTCCCTCCTCTCTTTCCCCCCTCTCCCTCCCCTTCTCTCTCTCTTCCCCCTCCCTTCCTCTCTCTTTCCCCCTCCCTTCCTCCCTCCCTCCCCCCTCTCCCTGTTTCTCCCTCCCATTCTTTCCTCCCGCCCCTCTTTTCCTCCCCTCCCTCCTTCTCTCCTTCCCTCCCTCCCTCCCTCCCTCTCGTTTCTCTCTCTCTTTTCATTTCAGTAACAACTAGAAAAATCAGGAGGCAAGACAGAAATTTGACAGCGGCATCCAAACAAGGTTTCAGGAGTGACGATGGAATCATAACAAAAAAAGAAGAGAGAAGGAATATTGCTGCCCCTCGGTCAGGTTGCAGTCGAGAAGATGCGTCACTAGATGGTCAAGTGTCTTCACTACCTGGATCTCAAGATAGGAGTCCACCACTTTTGCCAGCCCCCAAGACCTTGATCACCTCCGATAAGCAGCCCCGCCGAAAGATCTTAGTTGACCTTCGACCCCTCCTGGAGAACGTCATGGATCCCCTGGACTCTTGGGAAAAGAAACCATTGAAGAAGCAGCCGCTGCAGGAGAGGTGTCCTTCTTCCGCCTCTGGTGCCTCCAGAGATGAAGGTAACTTGGAAGGAGGAGGTGAAGATCAGGCTACCAAAACGCCTGCTGATTTCCCCAAGGATCGTGAGATTCCCAGAGTTCATCTCTTTTTGCCTCCTGTTGGAGCCTCCAAGCTTTACAGGAAGAAAATCAAGATCTCCAGAAGAACCATTTGGGCACCTCCGAGAGAGTCAACACAGCTTCGGAAAATCACCTTGCCTCCCATCCATGCTTTCCAACCACAACCACAGCTCCAAATGCCACTTGCCTTCTCCAAGACTAACCTCCAGAACCATGTTCCACTCCAGGAAAAGAGACACGGAGAACCAGGAGGACCAGAAGGAGCGTCTTGGGGGCCGGTGGGCACATTTGCACTTTTGGGGGGCAGGCCGGTTGTGTTCCCACAAACTGGGTGTCTGGGCTGGAGGGGGGATTCCTGTCTGTCTTGGTGGGACGTGGGCAATTTTATTTTATTTATTTATTTATTAATTCAACTTATACACCACCGTTCTCCCCAGGGGGACTCATGCAATCGATTCAGTAGAAAGCCAACAGGAGTGGTAGGAAATCCATTGCAGATAGTCCTCGACTTATGACCACAATTGGGCCCCAAATTTCCATCACTAAGCGAGAAGTTGTCGAGTGACTTTTATGCCATTTTACGACCTTTCTTGCCACAGTTGTTAAGTGAATCATTGCAGTTGTTAAGCTAGGAACACGGTTGTTAAGTGAATCTGGCTTCCCCATCGGCTTTGCTGGTGAGAAGTCGTAAAAGGGATCTCGTGACCCTCCTTGGGGACACTGCAACCATCATAAATGTGAGTCACTTGCCAAATGTCTGAATTTTGATCACGTGACCACGTGGGGATGCTGCAGTGGTTGTAAGTGTGAAAAATGGTCGTAAGCCAGCAGTCACAAAGTGAGCACAACTCACTTTATGACCGCATCACTTAGCGACAAAAGTTCCAATGATGATTGTTGTCATAAGTTGAAGATAAATTGAGGGGCTCCTGCAAAGTTGAGGGGGCCACCTATTCTTTAAAGCAATTGAAGGCAAGACGAGAAGCAATGGATGGAAACCAGGGGTGAAATTCAATTTTTTTTCCCTACCGGTTCTGTGGGCGTGGCTTGGTGGACATGGCAGGGGAAGGATACTGCAAAATCGCCATTCCCACCGCACTCTGGGGCCAGCCAGAGGTGGTATTTGCCGGTTCTCCGAATTACTCAAAATTTCCGCTACCAGTTCTCCAGAACCTGTTAGAACCTGATGGATTTCACCCAGGGGTGAAATGTAAAATTTGTTACTACCAGTTCTGTGGGTGTGGCTTGGGGGGTAATGTGACTGGGTGGGTGTGGCCAATTTTTATTTTTTTTTAACTTTTCAAATCATTTTTTCTAATGCTTTGAAAAGCCTCTGCCGATCAGGCAACTCAGCTGGGATCGTCAGAGAGGCTTTTTAAAAAATATCTCTCTGACGATCCCAGCTGAGTTGCCTGATCGGCAGAGAGGTATTTTTTAAAAAATACCACCTCTTCGGCCAAGAGGTTGCAGAAAAAAATGCTTTGAAAAGCCTCTGATGATCCCAGCTGAGCTGCGAGATCATCAGAGGTTTTTTTTTTTACTTTTAAAAGCATTTTTTCGTCGGAAGAGGTTGTAGAAAAAATGCTTTTAAAAGTAAAAAAAAAAAAAAAAGCCTCTGATGATTGTGCGGTTCAGCTGGGCATGGAGGGGTGGGGGCGCAGGGATTTTTGCTACTGGTTCTCCGAACCACCTGCCATCATCGCTACCAGATCAGGCATCCGGGAGCATTTCACCCCTGATGGAAACTAACCAAGGAGAGAAGCAACCTAGAACTAAGGAGAAACTTCCTAATGGTGAGAGCAATCAACCAATGGAACAATTTGCCTTCAGAAGTTGTGGGTGCTTCATCATTGGAGGCTTTCAGATAGCAACTGGACAGTCACTTGTCTGAAATGGTGTAGGATCTTCTACTTGAGCAGGGAGTTGGACTAGAAGACCTCTGAGGTCCCTTCCAACTCTATTCCAACTTCTATTTTTCTCTGTCCAGGAGGTAGGACATCTGTGCTATGCTCTGCTAACTGTATTAAATAGCCGGTGAAAAAGGATTAAAAACACAGAAGTCCGCTTGATTCGCTAGACAAATCCTGCAGCCAACTTTCTGCTTTCCGTTTCCCCAGCCCACTGCTTCCTCACCGGATTTCCAACTTCCCACCCAACTGCTTTTGCAAAAGCTGCAGGAAACTACAACTAGTAACAACCATCTGCTGATTGCAAAAGTCCTGCGTTCTTTGCGGGAAGAGCTGCTGGGGAGCAATGCATGTGAATCAGATCAAAGGTAAGAATCAGCCTCCTCCTCTTCCTCCTCCTTCTTTCTGGCACTTTTCTGCAGGCTGAACAGTAATTGCATCTGTTTTTCTGAAGCAGTTATTCCAGCAGCCACCTCCAGTCCCATCTTCCATTGATTATCCTGGACCTGTTGTTCCATCATCCACTGGCTGGCTGGCCCTGGCACACAATGCCCACAGGGTATGATCCAGGGGTGAAATCTACTTACCTTCCCAACCGGTTTGGAAGTGCATGGGCCGCACACAGGGCCGGATTTTCCTATAGGCTAACTAGGCTTCAGCCTAGGGCCTCAAGATCAAGAGGGGCCTACATTGAAATTGTTAGCAAAATTAAAATTACACTTTCACTATAGGTGAAAGGGCCTCTTTTCATCTAAATCCGGCCCTGGCCGCACACGCGTGGACCCTCTGTGCATGCACAAACTCTTCTGCGCCTGTGCAGAGGGTAAAAAACAGGTTACTTCCTGGTTAAAAAAGAGAATTCATTTAACATTGGACTGATGTCCTAATTAAATCATGAGCCTTGAGCCAAGCTTCAAAAGAAATCCAGTTATTTATTAGGAGCTTCATGTCAGCATGTTCCAAGTGAAGCCAGCTCTGACTCCACTTAATGTCCTGGCTCTGACCTTGTTTCCCCTCTCTACCCAAGGTATGACATCAGTCACATTCTCCAAGGAAGCAATTTCGGGGTTAGAGAGATCACTCCCCTCTGGCCACTGTAGGTAACCACGGAGATGGCCTTGAAAGAGAGATGGCTGGAATGTGCTTTTCTTTTGACTGAAGTGCTCCCTCACTGTAGCTGCAAAGTTCGTTTTCCCGTCCCCCTTGCCTATGGCAACTCGAGAGCAGGCCAGGGATGCTTTGCGAGTTGACATTCACCACATTCGCTTAACAACCATGGAGATTCACTTAATGACTGCTGCAAAAAAAATGGTAGGACAATTGGGCGAGTGGGAGGGTGATCTGCTTAACAACTGGCATGACTGGCTCAATTCCAGTTGTAAGTCGAGGAATTTCCTCCTACAAATTCTCTCTTCCTCCCCCATGTTTTTTAGGGAGAAGCAGAAGGACGTCCTGGAGCTTCCTCGGATTCAGTCCTGGAAACATGGCAAAACAGACATGGGAGAGAAGGCATTTGATGTCACTGATATGGAGATGGCCAAGAACAGGTTAATTAGATTGATCAGGAATCACAACAGCTTTCCTCAAGGCACAGGTGTGTTACAGGTGGACCCAGGACCTTGAGCCGCTACCTTAGAAGAATCCTGCTGGATTAAGACAAAAAAAAACCCACCCCTTTCGGGGCCTGGATTCCCATAGAAACACATTCAAAGGTTGGAAAACAATAACCTGTACCCAATTCCTGCTATGATCATCATTTAACGACCCCATAATCCCTTGCGGGGTGGAGTCTGGGCAACTGAATAGAGCTACCAGTGTTTAGTGGCCGGATGCCTTTCCTGTCGCCAATGCGGAGCTTTGATCAGCAGATATATTCTCATTGTGCCCAGAGAGAGAAATATTTTAGATAGCAGTTCCTGCTTTGATGAAATATTAAAGTAATTTGGCTTTGGATGGGCTAATCTCTGCAAAGACTGTAAATATGAAAAACGGTTGTAAGCAGTTGTGGGCTGCTGGGGGTTCGCAGGGGTTCAGGAGAACTTCTAGCTAAGATTCTGTGCAGTTCAGAGAACCCCCAAATCCCACTCCTGGCTGGCCCCGCCCACCCCGCCCCTCCCAGGAGTCCCCACATGGCAGGGGTGAAATCCAGCAGTTTCTGACAGGTTCTGGAGAACTGGTAGCAGAAATTTTGAGTAGCTTGGAGAACCAGCAACTACCACCTCTGGCTGGCCCCAGAGTGGGGTGGGAATGGGGATTTTGCAGTATCCTTCCCCTGGAGAGGGGAAGGAATGGAGATTTTGCAGTATCCTTCCCCTGCCACGCCCACCAAGCCACGCCCACAGAACTGGTAGTAAAAAAATTTGGATTTCACCACTGGTGCAGGGTGTACACGGAGGCTAGGGGAGGGTGAAAAATGGGCCTACTGGAAATTCAGGAAGGGCCTCCGGAGCCTGGGAAGGCTGTTTTTGCCCTCCCGGAGGCTCAAGAAAAGCCTTTGGAGCCTGGGGAGGGCAAAAATGCACCCCCCCCGCCGTGGTGCAGGAGACTGACTAGGCCACACCCACCATGGCCACGCCCACCCAGCAACTGGGCTGAGAACCCTTTGCTAAAATTTTTGAAGCCCACCCCTGGTCGTAAGTCACTTTTTTCAGTGCTGTTGTAACATCAGACGGTCACTAAACGAATGGTTGTAACTCGAGAACTACCTGTACATAAAACCAGCTGGTCTTTTGGTGGTCCTGGGATGAACTCAACAGTGGAGACAGGGTGCAGGGGAAAAAGTCCCAACACAACCAATGAAGAAAGCCATGTTACATCACAGGCAGGGCTGGGATTTCTCTGCTCTCTTTTCCTAAGTTTTGGGAAACTTTGGAGACTGCTAAGAACCAGTATCAAGCCTATAGTAAGGCATGCAATATAATTTGGGGGGGGGGGTTCCTGCTTCCAAACCGCACCAGTCTTAGAAAAAGGTTTTAAAAGTCATTTAAATGTACGATCGTTTCTCCTTTAATACTGTTTTGCATTCAAAAAGATTTTTCAACTTGTTCTCACGCGGATGAAGCTTTCTCCCTAGGCCTGAGGAAATAGAGAAAAGTTAGCTAACTACTCAAATGAAACGTATTGGACTTTTTGGGTTGAAATTACTGGACTTCCCTGAGAAGCCATGAAGGCACAGCACACTGAGGATGTTACTTAGATTGGTAATGAAACATCGGCAAGGAAATAACCAAGCTCGGAGTGCATGAAGAACCTACCTGTCCCCAGTTCAACCTTGAACTACAAATACAGAGTCAGCATTTTGCCCCCAGCAATCTGGGTCCTCATTTTACCAACCTCAGAACGATGGACGGCTGAGTCAACCTTGAGCCTAGTGCAGGGGTTGGCAACCTGCGGCTCTGGAGCCGCATGTGGCTCTTACACCCCTCTGCTGCGGCTCCCTGTCGCTCAAAATATGCATCACAACCACCAACGTGCAGCACCTGCCAGCACGTGATTTATTGAGGTTTTCAACCTTCAGTAGGCTAACCAGGGATAGATCCAAGAAAAGTTTCAGAAGAAAACAGAACGTTTAACCACATATGCTAGTTTTGTGGCCGCTCGAGAAATAGTCAGGCACAGGAAGGGTTTTGTGGCTCCCGGTGTTTTCCTTTTCTGTGGGAAATGGGTGCAAATGGCTCTTTGAGTGTTTAAGGTAGCAGACCCCTGGCCAGATTCGATCTGCCGAACTGCTGGCAACTGGAGATCAGCAGAAGTAGCCTGCAGTACTGCACTCTAACCACTGCGCCACCCTGAGTGCAGTAGAGCGCAGTACTGTAGGCTACTTCTGCTGCCTGCCGGCTGTCTGCAATTTGGCAGTTCAAATCTCAGCAGGCTCAAGGTTGACTCAGCCTTCCATCTTTCCAAGGTGGGTAAAATGAGGACCCAAATTATTGGGGGCAAGAGGCTGACTCTGTAACACCGCTTAGAGAGGGCTATAAAAGCACTGTGAAGCGGTGTATAAGTCTAAGTGCTATTGCTATTGCTTGTAGGGGAAATAGAAGGAAGGAGTATTAGGTATATTCAGCGCCTTGAGTTATTAAAAATAATAAAGGCGGGATATAAATAAATAAATAAATAAGAAGTATCTACTGATCTACCTTAGAAGGTGCCAGGTGTATGTTGCAACCCACAAATTACACGGCTCCTCGCAGGATGCGCAGAGTGTTCAAATTTGGTTGAAATGCAACTTAATCAAGAATTGTAAAAGTTTTTGTAATTTGTAAAAGAATTGTAAAAGGACAAGCTGGTTTGGTGATTTCCCCATTAAACAATCATAATACATTTTTAAAAATATATTAAGAGTAAACTTGTCTCTATGCGTTTGCCCATTTTTCACAGAATTTATTTTGATGTGTTTGTTGGGATAAAGCTGAAGTTTTTCATTGTTTTTGTGAGGCATCTTGACGGTTGCCAATTTCTCATTTGGTTCCTTTTGCTAACTGTTTATGGCAATAAAATAAGAGGCAAAATGGAAAACGAGAAAAGACAACGGCAGCCAGCAATGGATCGATGCTCCAGTGAGCATTAGTTTATTAAGAAATACGTTCTGTCCTGGGAAAGCAAGAGACGTGGGTCCTTCTGCAACCCATGTCTGCTTATGTGCTCCAGGTGTAACCGAAGAAGATATCTTGCTGAACTTTTGCTGGCTGAAGGAAGTACAGCTCGTCAGCTCTGGGGGACACCCAGCGTGTGGTATGGTAGACAGACTCCCCAACCTGGGAGAAGAGAAAGGGGACAGGTGAGGCAATACACAGGAAGGAAAACCGGATTGGTCCAGTGGTTAAGGTGCTAGCTTAGGAACACGAGACGGTGAGTTCTAGTCCCGCCTTAAGGCATGAAAACTGTTTGGGTGATCTTGGGCCAATCACCCCCCAGTAGGTATGTGAGCTCCAGAGTTCTGCTAGTTCTGTGGTCCCCAATCTTTTTGGCACTGGGGACTGGTTTCATGGAAGACAATATTTCCACAGACCAGGAGAGGGGAAGGAGAGGAGCATGCAACCTAGATCTCTCACATGCGCAGTTTCCAGTAGGACTCACTCCTGTGACAATCTAATGCCTGATGATCTGAGGTGGAGCTGAGGCAGTGATGCTAGCATTGGGGAGCAGCTGAAAATACAGATAAAGGTTCGCTCGCTCGCCCCCGTTCAGCTCCAAGTGTATGGCCCGGTTCCTAACAGGCCACGGACCGGTATTGATCCGTGGCCAAGGGGCCCGTCCGAGCTAGATTAATGTCAGAACAGAATAATAAGAGCCTTGGTAGTACAGGGGTTTAAGGCACCCTGTTATTAAGCTTATTAAGACCAGCTGCCTGCAATTACTGCAGGGTTCAAATCTCGCCAAGGCTCAAGGTTGACTCAGCCTTCCATCCTTTCTAAGGTAGGTGAAATGAGGACCCAGTTTGTGGGGGCAATAAGCTGACTTTGTATAAATATACAAAAGGATGAAGGCTATTGCTGAGCACATTGTAAGCCGCCCTGAGTCTTCGGAGAAGGGCGGCATATAAATCAAATTAAAAAAAAAAAAAGATTTGGAAGGGACCTTGGAGGTCTTCTAGTCCAGCACCCTGCTCAGGCAGGAAACCCTATACCATTTCAGACAAATGGTTGTCCAATCTCTTCTTAAAAACTTCCAGTGTTGGAGCATTCACAACTTCTGCAGGCAACTTGTTCCACTGATTAACTGTTCTGTCAGGAAATTTCTCCCTATTTCTAGGTTGCTTCTCTCCTTGATTAGTTTCCACCCGTTGCTTCTTGTCCTGCCCTCAGGTGCTTTGGAGAACAGCTTGACTCCCTCTTCTTTGTGGCAGCCCCTGAGATACTGGAACACTGCTATCATGTCTCCCCTAGTCCTTCTTTTCATTAAACTAGACATACCCAGTTCCTGCAACTGTTCTTCATATGTTTTAGCCTCCAGTCCCCTAATCATCTTTGTTGCTCTTCTCTGCATTCTTTCTAGAGCCTCAACATCTTTTTTTTACATCATGGTGACCAAAACTGGATGCATTATTCCAAGTGTGGCCTTACCAAATGTCTTCAAAAGTATCTCTGGCCACCTGGTAGAAAGAGGGCACTAGACATTTTCCCGACTGCCCCCAAATTTATCTAGGGCCACCCAGAAGAACCCACTCATAAATGGCTCATGTATTATAGTTCTGTAGGGAAAAACTTCGTAAGGGGGGGCAGCCTAGGGTTTGGGGGGGCAAAGGAAAAACTAGGGGTGCAACAGGAGGGAAAAAGAAATTCCTTTTATTACAAAATTTGTCAAAGATTCAAACCTGCCAGCCAGGGACGTCTTTCATGATCTTGGCTTCCTCATCCAAGTTATGACGCAAGAGGCGTAGTATCCTTCAACAAAGAGAGAGAGAGAGAGAGGGAGGGAGGGAGGGAGGGAGACAGGGAAAGAGAGAGAGAGGAAGAGAGGAAGGGAGAGAGAGGGAGGGAGAGGGAGAAGAACGGAGGGAGGGAGAAAGAGAGAGGGGGGAGAGAGAGAGGGAGAGAGGGAGGGAGAGGGAGGGAGGGAGGGAGAGGGGGAGAGAGAAGTAGATAAAGAGGGAATCAGGATGATCTGGCTCACATACAGGTAGCCTCACCAGTAATTTAGCCTGGCAATTATGGTCATTAAGTTGTGACAGTTATAAAGAGGCTCACCATATGACCCCTGACTCAATTTTACGAACTTTTCTGCAGTGGTCGTTAAGAGAATACAGCAGTCGTTATGTGAACATCTGATCATTACATCCCCCATTGCTCACTATGGATTGAGTTTTGCTGTAAACTTCAAGCCAAGACCGATTTTCTTCTGGCAAAAGTGTCGTAAATCACAATAATGTTGTTGACAGCGGAACACTGCAAATGGCCATAAATGCAGGCCAGATGCTGAGCGTCCAAAATATGATCATGTGACTGCAGGGGAGAGGGTGATGTCGGAACTTTGAAATCAAGTTCTGAGTCCCTTTTTCAGGGTCTGTTACAGCAGCAAACAGTCGTACGTTGAGGGCTACTGTCTATAGGGAGAGTGTGGGGGAGGAATGAAGCATGCTGGGTATTCTGAAAAAATGATTTCCTGCCTTTGGTCCTTTCACAAAATTATATGGGGCTCAATTCAGAGTGTCAGGAGACCCTCTGGCCCCTCTGGCCTATAAATTTTTAACCTACTGGGGACCACCACACTATATGATCTTGCACGAACACCGTATTTCTCGGAGTATAAGATGCACCTTTTTCCCACCCTAAAAAGGGGGTGAAAATTTAGGGGTGTCTTATACACCGAATGTAGCCCCGCCCACCTACTGGCCCCCACCCTTTGGCCTCTGCCTCCCAGCAGTTTACCTCCTTGCAGCAAGCAGCAAGAAGAAACAGCCCGTTTCAGCTTCAGCACAGCCTAATTAGCACGAGTTGATTGGATCGGCCTCCCGACTCTCAGCTGTTTTGCGTGGGCCTCTGCTGCTTGCTGCAAGGAGGTAAATTGCTGGGAGCAGATTTTTTTTTCTTGTGCTAATCAAGCCATGCTGAAAACAAAAATGAAAGTAAAGCAGGCTATTTGCTGTTTGCTGCAAAGAGGCAAAATTGCAGGGAGGCAGAGGCAGATTTCTTTTTCTTGTTTTCCTCACCAAAAAAGGTAGGTGCGTCTTATAGTCCGGAGCGTCTTATACTCTGAAAAATACGGTAACTTTAAAAACCTCCCCAAATCCTGCAACAAAGGTATTCTTTGACTTACAAACATTCGTTGAGTGACTGTCTGAAGTTGCAAAGGCATTGAAGAAGACTGTTTACAATCATTTACCGTATTTTTCAGACTATAAGACACACCGGAGTATAAGACACAGCAAGATTTTGAAGAGGAAAACAAGGGGAAAAAATAGTTTTTGTCCTCCCCAGCCCCCAGGAGCACTCTGTAGGCCTCCCAAACCCTCTGCGTATCCTGTTTTTGCGAAAAACGGGCAGGTTTTATTTTTGTTGTTGTTGCAAAAATGGGATGCACAGAGGGTTTGGGAGGCCTGCAGAATGCTCCTGGGGGCTGGGGAGGGAAAAAACGCAACATGTGGGGGATTTGGGAGGCCAAAAATGGGCCTGGATAGCTCTGCAGACAAGGCACTGTAATTTAACACCAGCTGTCTGCAATTAAAGTAAGTTCGAATCTCGCCAAGGCTCAAGGTTGACTCAGCCTTCCATTCTTTCTAAGGTAGGTAAATTGAGGACCCAGTTTGTGGGGGCAATAAGCTGACTTTGTATAAAATATACAAAAGTATGAAGGCTATTGCTTAACGCATTGTAAGCCGCCCTGAGTCTCCGGAGAAGGGCGGCATATAAATCAATTTTTTTTTAAAAAAAAGACACGTGGTGCTGGGTTTTGGGAGGCCAAAAATGGCTGTATTTGGTATATAAGATGCACCAACATTTCCACCCTCTTTTAGGTGGGAAAAAAGTGAGTCTTATACTCCGAAAAGTACAGTAACAATAATTGCCGCAGCCCAACTCATTGCAGCTGTTAAGTGAATCTGGCTTCCCCCCATTGACTTCGCTTGTCAGAAGCCAGCTGGGAAGGTTACCAATGATAGTCACATGACCCTGGGACAGGGCAACCGTCATAAATACATGCCAGTTGCCAAGTGCCCACATTTTGATCACGTGCCCTTGGGGATGGTCGTGTGAAAACCGGTCAGGAGTCGCTTTTTTTTCAATGCCGTTGTAACGTGGAACGGACACTAAATGAACGGCTGTAAGTCAAGGACCCAAAAGTATTTGAAGAACCCAAAAGTTTCTTAGTATTTTGGAAGTGGACGACAGTTAAGGGAAGAACAATAGATCTCATGGGGGGGGGGGAGTGAGAAATCTGCTATCTGCTTAGAACAGTGTTTCGCAACCCTCAGTGGCTTTAAGATGGACTTCAACTCCCAGAAATCCCCAGCCAAACATGACTGGCTGGGGTATTCTGGGAGTTGAAGTCTACGCATCTTAAAGTTGCTGAGGCGATAAAAGGAAGAGGGGAGGTAAAAAGTCTCTCAGCGCCCAGGCCTCGAGAGCTGAACTTACTTGCGGTCCTCCTCAGCCATCAAGAGAGGCATGATTGCTATCCTGGTTTCCGCGTCCTCAAAGGCCAGGAGTCTAGAAAAGGCAGGGAAAGAGCAGGGAGGTGACAACAAAACGTGCTAAGAAAGGGACAAAACTGGTTTCCAGATCGCGTAACAACGGTGATTTCCCAACCTCAGCAACTTTAGGATATATGGACTTCAATTCTTAGCAGGGCGGCTGAAGAATTCTTAATTAATGTTAGCTATAGGGGACTCTGGGAATTGAAACTCACATGTATTAAAGTTAACCAGGGTTGGAAAAAACAGGAACACCTCATTCACCCTTCAGGAAAGAGGAAATAAAAGTTATGGACACCATCCAGGTCTTCCGAGACCTTGGGATTTCTTATCTCCACTTCTGGAGAATCTGAGGCCACGACAACAGAGTCCTCCCCGCGATCTCTTCCACAATTGGTGGATGTCGACTTGCAAAATCCCTTCCAGCATAGATTAAGGCACCAGGATGGGAAACAGCCTACGGTGCTAAAAGGACAATTGTTTTCCCCTAGGGAAAGCTTCAGATTCAAATCCTGGCATTTCTAGGTTGAAGTGAGAAAAGAAACCTGTCTGGAAAAAACGGAGGAGCGTAGAAAATATTGACCTATAAAAACATCCCGAGTCTATACTTGCTTTCCTCCAACACAACCGCAACCTTATCCAGAACATCCAGGAAGGAGGAGCATTCCTTATCCCAGTTTAAAGCAGGAACATAAGCAAGTTTATCCTTCCAAGTTCCTTCAGCATAAAGGTAAAGGTGAAGGTTCCCCTTGCATATATGTGCTAGCCGTTCCCGGCTCTAGGGGGCGGTGCTCATCTCCGTTTCAAAGCCGAAGAGCCAGCGCTGTCCGAAGATGTCTCCGTGGTCATGTGGCCGGCATGACTAAACACCAAACACACACGGAACACTGTTCCCTTCCCACCAAAGGTGGTCCCTATTTTTCTACTTGCATTTTTTACATGCTTTCAAACTGCTAGGTTGGCAGAAGCTGGGACAAGGAACGGGAGCTCACCCTGTTACACGGCGCTAGGGATTCGAACCGCTGAACTGCCGACCTTTCGATCGACAAGCTCATCGTCTTAGCCACTGAGCCACCATGTCCTTCCATCCATAGAGGATACAAAACAGTCAGATGGGCCCTGTGGATGCTACTTCCATGTAGCACTAAGCTTCTTCACATAACTGTTTTCATCAGTATCTCAAAATTCTCCATATAAAACTTGATCTGTTGATATAAATGTGTATCACACGAATTTTCTGCAGAACTTTGCACATACAGGCATCTGTCATAGGACAAAACAAAGCTTTCCTTTAATCATAGATTAATGAGTAAATCACAATTAGAGGAGTGCCATGTGTACGGAACGAAACCCAGGCAAATCACTGCATGGGTTAAGGTACAAGTAGTCCTCGACTTACAACCACAACTGAGCCCAAAATTTATGTCGTTATGTCAGACATTTGTTAAGTGAGTTCTGTCCCATTTTACAATTTTTCTTGCCACAGTTGTTAAGTGAATCACTGTGGTAGATAAGTTAGTAACCTGGTTGTTAAGTGAATCTGGCTTCCCCGTTGACTTTGATTGTCAGAAGGCTGCAAAAGGTGATCACGTACCTTGGAACACTGCAACCGTCATAAATATGAACCCGTTGCCAAACATCCAAATTTGAATGACGTGACCATGGGGAGGCTGCAAAGGTTAAAACTGTGAAAAATGGTCATCAGTCACTTTTTTTCAGTGCCGTTGTAACTTTAGTGTTAACGGTCACTAAATGAACAATTGTTAAGTGGAGGACTACCTCTACTGAGCAAAGACAGCCTGAGAAGAGTGTCATGAATATTTTTCGGGCCAATTCAATGAAGGAAACGATTGCAAACTTACCTCCTCTCCCAGTTCCATTTGAAAATAGCGTACGTCCCAAAAACGAACGCCCCAAGGCCGATGGCAAGAAGGCCGTAACCTAGAAACAACAAAATGGGAGCCTCAGGTACTCCACAACTTACGACCACAATTCAGACCAAAGTTTCTGTTGCTAAGCGATGACAGTTGTTAAGTGAGCTTTGCTTTGCCCCGTTTCATGACCTTTCTTGCTCACAGTTGTTAAGTGGATCACTGTGAAGTTAGTAACAGGGTTGTTAAGTGAATCTGGCTTCCTCATTAACCTGGCTTGTCAGAAGGTCGCAAAAGGTGATCATATGAACCTGGGACACTGCAACCATCATAAATATGAGTCAGTTGCCAAATGTCTGAATTTTGATCACATGAGAATTCCCAACTCTCATACAAGCCTACCATCCAGCTGCTCAGATGCCTTGCACAACACACCCAATCATGGTTTGTTGAATAAGCCACGACTGGTTGGGTTGACAGCAGCAAGCCTTAAGCTGCAAGAAAGACCAAGGCTCATCTGACAGGTCTGTAGCGATTCTCAGTCATCTAGGTCATGGTTGTCCCAAAGGACATCCATGACCCAGATGACTGAGAATCTCTACAGACTTTTAGTTTATACAATTTGGGATGAACACCCTTGGAATGGTGGGAGAGGAATAGGAATGGATTTCCAGAGGAAAAAAAAATGCAGACTACAGGAACCAGGCGCAGCACTCAGGTGACCCTGAGGACACAGATAAACCTCCAAGGGCTTCAAGGACCCTCTAAAACAGGGGTCTCCAACCATGGCAACTTTAAGCCTGGTGGACTTCAGCTCCCAGAATTCCTCAGCCAGTTTTGCTGGCTGGGGAATTTTGGGAGTTGAAGTCCGCCAGGCTTAAAGTTGCCAAGGTTGGAGACCCATGCTCTAAAAGGATGCAAGGACCAGCTGTCTGCAAGGAATATAAATCCTTCCATTCCCCACCGTCCTCCAGTCAGAGCTGAAGAAGCTTCTTGGATGAGAAGCGAAATGTCTTCAAAAGAAAAAAGAAAAGAAAATCCAGTTGCCTCCTGAAAAAGCACCTTTGGTCTCATCTTACAGGTTTTGAACTACTATAATAAGCCCATATATTTGTCATACGCTAAATAAAATAAATTAAAAAAACAGGTTTAGGATGTCATGTGAAGGGTAGGGAAAGCACGGACCCCGCATATTATTTATTTATAAGTAATATTAATCTTCTCATCATTCCCACCACCCACCTCCTTCCACTTATGACTGTACGACTGTAATTTTGTTGCTTGTATCATTTGTCCCCTACGACTATCATTAAGTGTTGTACCTTATGATTCTTGATGAACGTATCTTTTCTTTAATGTACACTGAGAGCATATGCACCAAAGACAAATCCCTTGTGTGTCCAATCACACTAGGTCAATAAAAAATTGACTGGTGGCTCAGCAGACTGATAGCATTGTGATTAAGACCAGCTGCCTGCAATTACTGCAAGTTCGAATCTCACCAGGCTCAAGGTTGACTCAGCCTTCCATCCTTTCTAAGGTAGGTAAATTGAGGACCCCGTTTGTGGGGGCAATAAGCTGACTTTGTATAAATAAATATACAAAAGTATGAAGGCTATTGCTTAACGCATTGTAAGCCGCCCTGAGTCTTCGGAGAAGGGCGGCATATAAATCAATTTTTTTTTTAAAAAAATTCAATTCAATTCAATTCAATTAATTCAATCTATTCTATTCTATTCTATTCTATTCTATTCTATTCTATTCTATTCGCCTGACTTAGGTGGCTCAGTGGCTAAGACACTGATCTTGTCGATCAGAAAGGTCAGCGGTTCGAATCCCTAGTATACAGGTCTCCTGCATGAACAGGGGGTTGGACTAGATGACCTCTAAGGTCCCTTCCAAACTCTGTTACTGTTAATAGGAACACACAGCCCATGGTGGCTTATTCAAGACAGCCATCCCTAGCTTAAGCCAGCCGCCTCCTGAAGACCCAAGCACCCGAGTTTCAAGACCCCATCTCCCCCATCCTCACCCGGGAGCCCCCGAAGGGGTAATCGCCTCTTATAGTCGATTGGTCCATAACCGCCCGGCGGCGGCATGTCCTGCTTCACCTTCCAGGCTCCCGCCGCCATCTTGGAAGCGGGCGGCTCTCTCTCTCTCTCTCTCTCTCTCTCTCGCCCGACTCAACGCTTTCTTTACCCCGATCTGCACGCTCGCCTCTTGGGGATGACGTCACGCGAACGCCGCAATGAAAGCCGGCCTTGGGCGAAGACTGGCGGTCACGTGACCTGGGTGGGTGGGTGGGGGTGGAAGGAACTCGGACGACGAGGCTCCTTTTGCGCCTCAGGGTTTTTTTCTTTTTTTTCTTTCTCTCGGTCCCGGAGCGCGCTTGGAAACCGTTCCTCTTTCTAGCGCCCAACACCTTGCGGGAAACGTTTATGATATGCGGAATGATAGAATTGGAGGGGTTTTGCAAGGCAGCAGTCCGAGGACAGAAGGCAGCCCAACCTATGTTTTGAAGGGCGACAAATTAAGGATGTACTCTAACACAGGGGTCTCCAACCTTGGCAACTTTCAGCCTGGCGGACTTCAACTCCCAGAATTCCCCAGCCAGCTGAAAGTTGCCAAGGTTGGAGACCCCTGCTCTAACAGATAACAAAGGGACCTTGTAGGTCATCTAGTCCAACCCCCTGCCCAAGCAGGAAACCCTACACCATTTCTGACAGATGGCTATCAGTCTCTTCTTGAAAGTCTCCGGTGATGAAGCTCCCACAACTTCCAAAGGCAACTTCTGTTCCATGGGTTGATTGTTCTCACTGTCAGAAAACTTCTCCTCATTTCTAGGTTGAATCTCTCCTTGAACAGTTTCCATCCATTATTCCTTGTCTGGCCTTCAGGTGCCTTGGAAAATAGCTTGATTCCTTCATCTCTGTGGCAGCTCCTCAAACATTGGAAGGCTGCCATCATGTCTCCCCTGGTCCTTCTCTTCACTAGACTAGCCATGCCCAGTTCCTGTAACCGTTCATATTTTAGCCTCCAGTCCCCTAATATCTAATTAGTAGAGGTAGTAGTCCTCCACTTACAACAATTCCTTTAGTGACCGTTCGAAGTTACAACAGTTGAGAAGTGATTTACGACCATTTTTCACACTTATGACTGTTGCAGCATCCCCATGGTCACGTGGTTTATTCAGATGCTTGATAACTGATTCACATTTATGTCGGTTACAGTGTCCTAGAGTCATGTGATTCCCCTTTTGCGAACACCTGACAAATAGTCAACGGGAAACCAGATTCACTTAACAACCATGTTAATAATTTAACAATTGCAATTTAGGGCCTGGAATAAATCTTTTGAGGAGAAACAGGATATATGGTTTCAAATTGATTTCAAATTCCAGGAAAGCTGTCACAAAAGCATCCACAGGCAGCCTCCTGTTTCTATTGAACAAGTTTTTGTTCTACTTATGTTGTTTATTAGACATAATGGCTGGATCCACGCATTACATTGAAGTCTGAATCATGGTTAACAAACTATGTGCCTTAATCCAGAAAACCAAAGACCTATTTAATCTTTGCATTAATTTGCCTGTATTATGCAGTGAACAACTCACATGCTTGGAAGCTTATTTCAAAAGATTAATAATATAACACAAGATATTTACCTCCTTACCCCCAATACATGATATTCATGCTTTCTTTTGCCTTCAAGAGTTAAAAGGTTCCTTGATTTTATTTTCACAACTTGATTAAATACACCCATAACATCTGGAGGCATGTTGTTCCACTGGTTAATTGTTCTGTCAGGAAATTTCTCCTTAGTTCTAGGTTGCTTCTCTCCTTGATTAGTTTCCACCCATTGCTTCTTGTCCTGCCCTCAGGTGCTTTGGAGAATAGCCTGACTCCCTCTTCTTTGTGGCAGCCCCTGAGATATTGGAACACTGCTATCATGTCACCCCAGTCCTTCTTTTCATCAGATTAAACATACCTAATTCCAGCAACTGTTCTTTAAATGTTTTAGCCTCTAGTCCCCTTATCATCTTTGTTACTCTTCTCTGCACTCTTTCTAGAGTATCAACATTTTTACATTGTGGCATTCATAAAAAAAATTGGGTATTAGCCAACACTTCTAAGAATATATTAGTGTCCAAAATTCAGGATGTGACTTGGAAAGTAATAGGCATGTTTTTTCTTATCCTAATTTCCAACACTTAGGGATATACTATCTCTGTCCATGGAGGTTCAGTTTAGCTGTGATGGCTAACAACTCTCACAGATTTTCCTACTCCTTTAATCTGTTAAATTTGTCAAAATAAATGGAACCTTAGGCAGTCATCTCACTTATGCCTTGTATAAGAGTTATTTTACTATATTGATATACAGTATACTTTATTCTGGGAATGCCAAGATTGAAAGGCCCATAATCAAATGCCATCAGCAAACAGGAAAAAAACAAAATTTATCTGGCTAAATGATTAATGACGCAATACAGGTAGTTCTCGACTTAACCATTTGTTTAGTGACCAAAGTTACGATGGCATGGAAAAAAGCGACTTATAACCCTTATGACTGCTGCAGCATCCCTATGATCATGTGATCAAAAATTTGGCATCTGGCATGTACTTAGGACAGTTGTACTGTCCCAAGGTCATGTGATCCCCATTTGTAACCTTCTCAGCCAGTTTCTGACAGGCAACATCCATGGGGGGAAGCCAGATTTGCTTACGTGTAGTGATTTGCTTAACAACTGTGTCAAAAAAGATCGTAAAATGGGACCAAACTCACATTAACAATTGCCTTGCCAGCATTGGAAAATTTAGGCTCAATTATGGTTATAAGTCCAAGGACTACCCGTACTCAACACCAAACATGGCCAAGAATGCATAATTCTTCAGCAAAAATTATTTCTGTTCTCTTCCAGCGGTAACTAAAGCAGGTGTTCTCAACTTTTTATTCATTTATTTGTAAAATGTTATTAGCCACCCATTTTGCTACACGGTAGCTTTGGAAGAATCTTTGAAATAATTTCCAGATCGTAGGGAAAAATATGAAAATCTTACAGCACACGCTTCACTTCCAACCTGTAGAATTCATGTTTTATGTTTACAACAGGAGCAAAGTGGCAGGCTACCAGCTCACTCAATTTAGTGTGTAAGAACACCTGTCACTGCAAATGCTCGCATTGCATGGCACATGAAGTTTTTCGATTGCAAGCTAAGGTTATTTATTTATTTAAAAGATTTATATGGCTGCCCACCTTAAGAATACATCTCTTGAGTGGCTCACAATGAAAGCTGTGAAATAAAAATCTCAGATGACAAAAGTATGCAGGCTTTTAATCTATTTAGCGCAGTTGTTGTGCTCCAAAGATTTTGATCTTGGATGCAAATATAGTGTTTTTATTATGATTTTTCAGACACTTCTATTCTCTGCTTTCCATCCTAATCCATTTTCAGACGTGAGTGCACATACAAACATACTTATGTCATTAGCAAAACTACATTAACATTTCTCTTCCTAGCAAGTAAATGAATTGCAGGTGAAGAGGAATCAGAAGAAATAATGATGAGGACAGCTTTGTCACCACTGTTATGTTTACCTCTGTTAATCCATGAGAGAGAATATCAGAAAGCTTTGCCTACCATATTCAGCTATATTTCAAATTTCCTCAACATTAAATGAATATCGAAGTCTTTTTTCTTAGGCATCATCACAGAAGGATACTGCTTGTTTTTTAGAACATCCTAACCACCTTTTGATGCCTACTTGAACGATATTGAAGTTCTAATCCCCCAAATGACGACGTATCGAAGTCTGGTAATTCGACCCGAGGCTTAAAAGATCCAACACAGGAATTGCTTCAAGTTAAAGATTTATTTTTGTGGACCTCCAAAATTTCCTGGACAATTTCCAACCCGGATCAAAAAGAGATTTCTGACACGGCTGGGGGTTTTCATCTTTTTTAAAAAAAGAAATGGCTTTTGGAAACACAGGTTCACAACTGTTGGTCAAACTGCTCCAGCTTTAAAACTTCACGTGGACAAACCTATCCTTCCTGATTTGTAAGTTAATCCAGCTCCTACGCAAAAAGCAAGGCTAGAATTTCAGAAATGCAAACCTCGATTTGCATCCAATCTAAGGCAGACCAATGATGCAAATGTGAAAAAACGCTAGAGAAATTGAACAGTTATGTCTACACTACAGCTTCATACCAGTTTTAAGTCTACTTTGACCCATCAGAGAAGCCTTGGGGTTAATCTGGAAATTAGATAGGTTCTTTAGGAGAATGGAACTCCAATTGTTTATACAGGTGCAACATTCTATATGGAACTGAAGTGCAAGAGAGATAAAAAAACCACTCCGGCATTAAGGTATCTTAACTTTGGGTACAAAATTAACAAGAATGCTTTTAAAGCCCACTAAATTCAAACAGAGGTAAGGATGGAGAGTAAAGCAATAGTTTTGATGTACAAACAAAAGCGGGCCCCGCCACAAACACTGAAATTCAGAAGAACTGTGTACAGAAAAATTAAAACCCTATAACGCTTGCTATCCACCAGAACTTTAAAACATTATATCTAAATATTCTCAAGCTTACAGAAAAGGAAAAAAGGGGGAATTAGGAGGAACTTTTTTTTAATTAAAATGCAAGAGCTGTCATTGGAACGGGAGCCCTTCCTGATACAGTAACATTTGTAGGTCTGTTCTTAAATTAGGCATCTCACTTGTTGCTAACAAAAATTCCAGACCCCCGACCCCAAAAAAAGGTTTGCCTGCACAGTATTAATCCCCTCCCACCCTGCTTTATATATAGTCTTATATATATATATTTATATATATTTATATTTATATATGCATTTATTTATATATAATTTTTTTTTGCAACAAATATCAGCACTAGATCTAGTACCAATACGCTAGTATGAATAGGTATAGAAAAGTCTGTACTTCTGCCTCTACTATAAAAAAAAAATGGCATCGAAGGGGAAAAATAAGACTATGACATTTTTTTCCCGTATTTCACTGAATTTGGCAGGGAGCATGGGAAGAGGAAGTGCGGTTTAAAGCCATCATTAGTCAAGATGCTAGTAGTAAAAATCGGTTACATTTCTAAGGATGGGATTGAACATACTAGAGACAACAGCTGTTTGCACCCATGTTGTGCTTTATAAAGCCGGAGACCCTGTGTTGTGTTTTGTTTTTTTCCTACACTAGGCACCCTCTACTTGTGCCCCTGGCTGGAAATTATGGGAGCTTAGTCCAACATGTACGGAGGGCAGCAGTAATATAACGATTTACCTATGGCAAGGCTGTTTTCTTTTCCCCCATAACAATTGGTAGCAAGAGAGATGTGGACTTTTTGTCTCGTGGTGTTGTTTTTATTTATTTCTTTTTTTTTTTAAACACAAAAAAATGTACTCCTCTGGTCCCTTCTGCTCCATGTGACTAAATTGCACACTGTTCTTAAGACAGCCAAGTTAAAAACCTTTCTAGAAAAAAAAATGAAAAGGGGAAGGGAGATTCAATCAGATGTTGGGTTTTTGTTTCATTTTTTTGTAGGAAAAAAAAATATCCATCTCCACACGGCTCACTTTTCTCTTTGGGAGCGTCAGACTTATTTTTTTTCATATTTTTCTTTTTTTAAAAAAACAAAACAAAAACAACAACAAAAAAAGAACAACCTGTTCATTCGTTTCAGACTGAGGAGGTTCAATAGAGCTGTTTTTATATAAACTGTCCAGTAATTCTTTAAACCAGCAAAGGTCCAGAGCAGAACATCTGTCGGAAACAAGATTCTATTTATTAAAAAAAAAAAAAAAAAAACCCCGAAAACAAGAAGATGCACATCCTCCGTGTTCGGTTGCTCCATTTCTTCTGGCGGTGGCAAGTCTGTCTGCATTTGCTCGTAGTATAAGTTATTACTGGGTTAAAAAGAAAACAAAACGAAACCTCCAAACTCAAAACACCAAACTCCTGCTGTTAGCCTTTGGAATAGAGCCTCCTCAGGAAATAGTGGGGTTTAGAGAAAACAAAGCCGTGAGGAAACCGGTCCAGCTTTCTGGGATTTTTCCCCCTCCCCCAATGTTGCCGGGTCCCGCTTCTGCTTTCTATGAACGAGTGAAGAAGTACATCCTTGGTCACGAAGGGCCACTGTATGATCAACCAAAGTAAAATTCAGCTTAACGTAACTTTAAAAAAAAAAAAAGAGAGAGAGATGGTATGTAAGAAGGGAAGGGACTGAGACCGGAAGCCATTGAGCCATCAAATCTCTTGCATGAGTCCTTGTTCCATTCTAGTGCTGATCAAAAAAAAAAAAAAGAGAGAGAAAATAATAATAACCCCCAAACTAAAGAGACAAAATACACAGAGAAAACAATAATATTAAATTGAGATTCTCCTCGGGGATGGTCTCAACCATCAGCCAACAAAAAAAAAAGAGTTTGCAAGAACTCGGTAGCCGAAATGTTCATTACCACCCTTTCGAGCGTCCATTTCTATCCAGCAGGAAGCTACGTATATGTAAAAAATACTTTCCGGCAAACCCCGCAGGCAGATCCAGTTACGACTTGAAAGCGGCTTTTCCACTGCGTGGAGAGATTTCGGAGGAAAAAATGGCAGAATCAAAAAGGAGGAGGAGAAGAAAAAAAAAACCCAAGAAGATGTAATAGACAAAAAAAAAAAATTTTTTGTTTTGTTTTTTGAAGTCTTCCACTCGGGGCGGAGGTTCCTGCGTTATTTCCATGTGGCCGATTGAGGGATGGACCGTGGAGGAATCATATCCAAGAGATATTCGCGCTGGCGATCTACGGCTGAGGAGGTGGTTTTGTGCACGGTGAGACTAGGGTTAACGAAGTTCAACGTCCCTCCTGGAGAAAAGGAACACAAAGGGTGCGTTGAAATGAACTCTTAAAAGGGAGAGACAGCTTTCCCCTTCTAATAGTGTCTAGAGCAGTTTTTCTCAACTTTAGCAGCTTGAAGATATGTGGATTTCAACTCCCAGAATTCCCCAGCCAGCCATTGCTGACTGTCTGGGGAATTCTGGGAGTTGAAGTCCACACATCTTCAAGCTGCCAAGATTAAGGTACGTTGATCTAGGCACTCTCTCCCCTTTTTCTGGCTTTCCTCAGATGTATCAAGGTGGGCATGTCTTAACATTCCCATGAGGAACTGCTCATTCTCAGTAATATTGAGAAGCAACCAGATTGGGAAAAGGCATCCCACCTGGGGACAAAGCCAGCATAGAATAAGGGTGAGAGATATGGGGAAATCTTAAAAAAAAAAAAAAGTTTGCAAAATACAATTAATCAAACTATAGACAAGAGACAGACACAGGTAAAGAAAAGCCCGAAAGAAAAACCCATGAGCACCGAATACCTTCTGCCATTAGATGCATGTAGTCTTTGACTTACGACCATTTTGTTTTAATGTCACGACAGCCCCGGAAAAAATGACTTATGACACACACCCCGTCTTCAAAGTTACAACTGTTGCACCAGCCTGGTGGTCACACGATCGCAATTCGGCTCGCATTTATGACCGTTCGCAGGAACTTGCGGTGACTTAATTGCAATTGGTAACCATCCCGGCTGGCTTCTGAGAATCGAAGTTAATTGGGAAACCCCTATTCATTTAATACGTTCGCGATTCACTTAACAACTGCAGGGTTCGCTGAATGACCACCGTAAGAATAGTAAATCAAATTAGGCCTAGTCACATGATGACTTGTTTAATGTCTGCCATCACTTAGCCCAATGGGGATGGAAAGATCCCCCTTGTTGCAATTGTGCTGATATGCAAAGTATTAAACATACAGGTGGTCCTCGACTTACAACAGTTCATTTAGTGACCGTTTATAGAGTTACAATGGCACTGAAAAAAGTGGCTTATGACCATTTTTCACACATAAGAATGATGTAGCAGCCCCATGGTCACTCAGCTAGAATTCAGACGCTTGGCAACTGGTTCATATTTATGACGGCTGCAGCGTCTTATGGGTCACGGGATCGCCTTTTGCGACCTTCTGACAAGCAAAGTCAAAGAGGAAGCCAGATTCACTTAACAACCAGGTTACCAACTTAACAAATGCAACGATTCGTTTAACAATTGTGTCATAAAATGGGGCAAACTCACTTCACTTAACAAATGTTCCACTTAGCAACATAAGTTTTGGGTTCAATTGCGGTCGTAACTCGAGGACTACCTGTATTGTGCAAGATTGCCCGTGTCATGCGTTCCCTGGCTCCCTAGAAAACCTGCACGAAGCAACGCCAGAGGCGATTTCCTGGATGGGTGAATTGGACAATCCGTTATAAGGCCACTGTGAAAGCCCCATAGAAGTTTTACTTATAATTATGTGGACTGTGTGATATATGTTTACTTCTCTTCTGTCATGTTCTAGTTAATAATAATAATAATAATAATAATAATAATAATAATAATAATAATAATAATAATAATAATTTAGCCACTATTTCATTCTGGTCCCAATTGTGGTTTTAAGTCGAGGACTAGCTGTAACACTGAAACCAGTGGTGAAATCTAAAATTTGTTACTACCGGTTCTGTGGGCGTGGCTTGGTGGTGGTGGGTAATGTGACTTGGTGGGCATAGTCAATTTTTTTTTTTAACTTTTAAAACCATTTTTTCTACAATCTCTTCGGGGAAGAGATTGTAAAAGAATGCTTTCAAAAGGCTCTGACAATCCAAGCTGAGTTGCCTGATCATCAGAGGCATTTAAAAGAAAAAAAGTCTCTGCAGATCAGGCAACTTTTTTTTTTTTACTTTTAAAAACATTTTTTCCGCCGAAGAGATTGTAGAAAAAATGGTTTTAAAAGTAAAAAAAAAAAGCCTTTGATGATTGTGCGGCTCAGCTGGGCATTGGGGAGGGGGGGGGCAGGGATGTTTGCTACCGATTCTCCGAACCACCCACCTCCATCGCTACAATAGTTTGTTCAATTGCCCTCTCTCAGAGGAGATATTCAGCTGGTTCGAACCGGTTCACCCGAACCAGTAGCGGAAGTCATGTGTGGGGGGCCCCCCACTCGTCCTGGCTCTATGCCATCCTATTTAGGCACGGCGCATGTGTGGCAAACCAGTAGTAACATAATGAGAAACCCACCGCTGCCCTCTCCCCACCTCAAAATAAGAGAGGGGAATTCATCACATGACCCCAGAGTGGGTTTCGTTGTCGTCAGAAGAACCTAGAAAAATATACCACTTCTGGCCTTTTTGGCTTTTAACAATAAGCAATATAAATTAAATAGATCAAGATTTTATAATTTGTAGCTCTAAGAGAGTCACCAAAAGGACACTGATATTTCCCAGTATCCCTTTTCAAGGGAGTCATGGGGTTGCTCAGAATCCATACACAGGTAGTCCTCGACTTATAACGGTTCATTTAGTGATTGTTCAGCATTACAACATCACTGAAAAAAGGGACTTAGGATCATTTTTTTCACCCCCGTGACTGTTGCAGCATCCCCACAGTCACGTGATTAAAATTCAGACGCTTGGCAGCCGACTCGTATTTATGACGGTTGCAGTGTCCTGGGGTGACGTGATCAGCTTTTGCGACTTTTTGACCCAGCAAAGTCAACGGGGAAGCCAGATTCACTTTAACAACCGTGGGTTACTAACTTTTAACAACTGCAATGATTTTTACTTAACAGCTGTGGCAAGGAAGGTCGTAAAGCGAGGCAAAATGCACTTCAAACAAATGTCTTGCTTAGCAAGAGAAATCTGGGGGCTCGATTGTGGTTGTAAGTGGAGGACTACCTTTAATATTTCACAATAGAGGAGGGAGGCCTTAGCATACTTAATATTGCTTTGAAAGAGTGAATGCAGCAAAAAGAAAGGAAGAGAAATAAAATAGAAACACCCTTTTCACCCAGAGATTGTTTTCCTTTCAGAAAGAATGCTGGCCGGACAAGGGAGCGCGGCCAGCGGCGGTAAAGACAAGAAGTCTCGAGAGCGAGTCATCTACCTGCATTGACGGGTGTCTTCTTCCAAGTGTAAGCACCTCCTTTGCCGATGGGTCTCTGAGCACGCTTACCTTGCCTGCCACCAAGTACGGCCACACCGGAGGCGTTCTGCAACTTGGGCGACTGGCTAAATGCATGCAAGACTCCGCGAGGGGTGCTGGCACTTCGGGGCAGCTGGCTGGAGGCCTGAGCAATGATCAAGACAAGGAAGAGAAAATAAACCATGAAATTCAAGGGCTGGAAAGGAGGCCAGAGTAGAATCACATTCTTGGAATCATATAGAGAGCAGTGTTTCCCGAGCTTGGGAACTTTTAAGGTATGGAGACATCAACTCCCAGAGTTGAAGCTATACTGGCTGGGAAATTCTGGCAGTTGAAGTCCACACATCTCAAAGTTCCTAAGCTTGGAAAACACTGGTCTGATCAGAATAGAGTTGGAAGGGACCTTGGAGGTCGTCTAGTCCAACCCCTGATCAAGCAGGAGACCCTATACCAAGGATGGCTAACCTATTTTTTCCTCAGGTGCTGAAAGCACACACGTGTGCCCACACCTACAATGCAATGCACCCCCTGCGCATGTGTGCGTGACCCTCCCCGCGCTGCCCCGCCCCCCACACATGCGTGCACGACCCCTCCCCACACACCCCAGGAGGCCTCTCTGAAACCTCTGGAGGCCGGAAATGGCCCGTTTCTGGACTTCCGGTAGGCCCGTTTTTCACTCTCCCAGAGCCTCCGCGGGAGCCCTGTACTTACCTGGCATCCAAAACGGGCTGCGTGGAGACTCCTGGGAGGGGAAGGGAGGGGAGGGGTGGGCAGGGCCAGCTGAAAATCAGCTGGCCAGCACAAGCATGCGCGCTGGAGCTAACCTAGGGCAACGACACGCGTGCCTGCAGATATGGCTCCGCGTGCCACCTGTGGCACACAAGTGCCATAGGTTTGCCATCATGGCCCTATACCATTTTAGATAAATAGTTGTCCAATCTCTCCTTAAAAACTTCCAGTGTTGACGCAAACACAACTTCTGGAGGCAAATAGTTCTACTGGTTAATTGTTCTCACTGTTAAGAATTTTCTCCTTAACTTCTGGTTGCTTCTCTCCTTGATTAGTTTTCATCCACTGCTTCTTCTCCTGCCTTCAGGTGCATTATTAGAGAATAGCTTGACTCCCTCTTCTTTGTGGCAGCCCCTGAGATATTGGAAGACTGCTATCATGTCTCCCCTAGTCCTTCTCTTCCTCAAACTAGACATACCCAGTTCCTGCAACCGTTCTTCATATGTTTTAGCCTTCAGTCCCCTAATCATCTTAGTTGTGTGTTCTTTAGCTCCCATGGCCAAACAGGAGAAAGTGAATTAGTTGTGTTAAGTGTTCTTTTCATGTGCCCAGTCCTGATATGTTGGAATATTATGAGACTCACCCAGAAAAACAAATGGCCTTGATGTTCCTGGATGCAAAGAAAGCTTTTGATAATGTGAACTGGCAGTTTATGGTAGATTCTAGTTTATGCCACAGGGGAACTTATGGGTTTCTAGGCTGTTCACATGCAACTGGGGAGGGAGGGAGGACTGAACTTGCTTTTAGAATAACATGGTGGGGAGTTGTACAACAAAAATCACATTAAATAAGTATAGAAATAAGCATTTGTGTTTTTGATTACCTCTTTTGTATTACATTCTAAATTGTTTTTGTGCCAACTTTTGGAAAAGTATTAAGAGGTTCAGTTGTGCATCTTTATTGTGGATGTGCTCATCCACACATCCATGAAATATATAGAAATATGTAAATAAAATGTATGTCCCAGAATCCACAGGGTCGTTGTCCCCCCCCCGTCCCCCCCTCACTTCTTTCCCATACAGGTAGTCTTTGACTTACAACTATTGGTTTAGGAAACATTCAAAGCAGGGGTGAAATGCTCCCGGTTTGGACCGGATGACAGCAACGGTCATAAATAGGAACCAGTTGCCAATCATCTGAATTTTGATCACATGATCATGGGGGATGCTGGAAAGGTCATTAACTGTGAAAAATAGTCATAAGTCCCTATTTTCAGTGCCGTTATAACTGAACGGTCATTAAACGAACTGTTGTAGCAATAGCAATAAGACTAATGTAATGCTTTACATCTTTCTCTAAGCCAGTGTTTCTCAACCTTGGTAGCTTGAAGATGGGTGGACTTCAACTCCCAGAATCCCCCAGACAGCGCTGCTGAGCAGGGGTGAAATGCTCCCGGTTCGGACCACATCACCTGATCCGGTAGCGATGGTGGGCCCCCCCATGCCCAGCTGAGCCGCGCGATCATCAGAGGCTGTTTTTTTTTTACTTTTAAAAGCATTTTTTCTACAACCTCTTTGGCCAAAAAAAAAAAAAATGCTTTTAAAAGTAAAACAAAAAAGCTTCTAATGATCGTGCGGCTCAGCTGGGGTCATCAGAGGCTTTTAAAAGCATTTTTTCTGAAACCTCTTCGGCTGATGAGGTTGTAGAAAAAAATGCTTTTAAAAGCCTCTGACGATCCCAGCTGAGTTGCCTGATCGTCAGAGGCTTTTAAAAGCCTTTTTTTTCTGAAACCTCTTAAGATTGTAGAAAAAATGCTTTTAAAAGTTAAAAAGAAAAAGTTGGCCACGCCTACCGTCACATTACCCCACCACCACCACCAAGCCACGCCCACAGAACCGGTAGTAACCAATTTTATATTTCACCACTGGCTGTGAGGACTTCTTCTCCAGCCTGTAAAGCTTGAGAAAGCAAGCCAGAAGATGCCTACCTGTTTGAGCGAGTGATGCTGCTGAGCTATCTGTTCTGGCTTGCTCTGAATCGGGGAGGCGGCCTGTTGCAATATCCGCTGCTCGATCTCCTGCTCCTGTTGCAAGGCCTTCACGAAGGCGGCCTTCAGCCGGCTCGTGTGCTCGGCCTTCAGCGCCTTCTTCTGATTGGAGGACATGCACGTCTCACACATGATGGAGCCGCTCTTCTCTTCCCTCCAGCGGCAGGTGAAGTCCGTCTTGCACTGGACGCAGGTGTAGGGCTCCTGCGAGGAGGGGCTGACGGAGACTTTACCTGCGCAAGAGGAGACGGAAAGGATCAACCAAGGGCTTCTGACCTCTGGCTGGGGTTCTTAAGATGGCCGGGAAAAAGCTATAGCAAGAAGTGGGAAGAATAAGAGTAGGGCGGTCATCTTCTCTATTCCTCGAGCCAATTGAACAGTGCAATGGATGGGAGTTAAGTTTTAGAAGACTGGGAGACAGCCGGGAAGGCAAGAAACAGAGATTTACCAAAAAAAGTTCTAAAACAGAAAGCAGAGTTGATCTCTACAGCAGGGGTCTCCAACCTTGGCAAATTTAAGCCTGGTGGACTTCAACTCCCAGAATTCCCCATGCCTTGTGTCAATAGTGTGGTGTAGCGGTTAGGGCAGTGGACTCAGATTAAGGTGATCTTGATTCAAGCCCATTCTTAGTATTCTTCATTCAGAGAGTTACTTTGAATTGGTCATTATCTGTCAGCCCAACCTAATTCATAGGGTTGTTATGGGGATATAATCGGAAAAGGTTCTATTATGTATACTGCCCTAAACTCTTTGTAGGACTGGTGGGGACATAAAAGAGCCTGGTGGCGCAGTGGACTAAACTACCGTTAAAGTAGTATTTAGCTGCCAGCTGCCTGCAATTACTGTGAGTTCAATTCTCACCAGGCTCAAGGTTGACTCAGCCTTCCATCCTTCCGAGGTGGGTAAAATGAGGACCCGGATTGTGGGGGCAATAAGCTGACTTTGTATAAAATAGAACACCACTTAGGGGGGCGCCAAAAACCCTCCTAAGCAGGTATATACAAAAGTATGAAGGCTATTGCTTAAAAGCATTGTAAGCCGCCCTGAGTCTCCAGAGAAGGGCGGTATATAAATCAAACTAATAAATAAATAAAAGACAACATACAACCTGAGAGCCAGTTTGGTGTAGTGGTTAAGGTGCTGACCTAGAAACCGGGAGACTGTGAGTTCTAGTCCCTTTGGCATGAAGCCCAGAGATTTCTCTCTCAGCCCAACCCATCTCACAAGTGTTGTTGTGGGGAAAATAGGAGAGGAAGACTATTAGGTATATTCACCACCTTGGGTTATTTATAAAGTAATAAAGGCCGGATAAAAATCTATTAAATAAAAAAACAGCCAATAATAAAACAATGCCAACCCATCTTCTCCCTGTTATCAGAGGTGGTATCCAGCCGGTTCGGATCGGTTCGCCTGAACCGGTAGTGGAAATCATGGGTGGGCCCGTACACTTGCCCCGGCTATATGCCATTGTATTTAGGCATGTTTTTGAGGCCGGGCACATGTGCGGAAGGCAGGCGTGCGGGCGAACTGGGCCCACACACGCACGAAGCAAGCAAGCGTGTGCGGCGAACCAATAGTAACATAATTAGAAACCCACCACTGCTTGTTACATATGTGTATCACCCAGTTTGCATTAAGCAATGGAGGTGAAAATCTCAGCTTTACTGAGAGCAGACAGTTAAGGTACTCCTAAAATTGCTTTTCCCATCCTAGAATCCCCCAGAGAAGCTGTTGGTCTAAAGTTCTATCAGCCTCTACTCAACATGACTAAAAAGCAAGCATGATGGGAACTGAAGTCCAGCAACAACTCACAACTCTAAGCAATGTACTGTATTTTTTGGACTATAAGACGAAAAATAAAAAGAGGGTGAAAATCTGGGTGCATCTTACACTCCGAATGTAGCTCCGCCCAGCTTCTCAAACGGAGGTTTCAGGGGCTGAAAAAAGCATCAGAAATGAAGCTTCAGAAAAGAAGCCCCCAAACAGAGCTTCAGAAAAAAAGCCTCCGAAACAAAGCTTCAGAGGCTTTTTTTCTGAAGCTCTGTTTCGGAGGCTTTCAGAGGCAGGAAAAGGTTTTTTTCTGAAATGGAGTTTCAGAAGTTTCAGAGGCAGGAAAAAAAAGCAAAAAAAAGCAAGGCACAGAGCTCACAACCAAGGAACCTGTTGCTAAAATTCACCTCTGGGAACAGCTGATTGGGGGTATTCTGGGAGGCCAATCCACCTGCCAATCAGTTTTTTTCTTATTTTCCTCCCCAAAAACTAAGGTGCGTCTTATACTTGGAAAAAATACGGTAAATCTCAACTTTGTTTCTCTCTAGGTGGCCTCCAATAGTGCTAGGACTACAGTTCCCAGTGTTCTAAGTTTGAAGGCTTCAACGTTTGGCCCCTTCACAGCTTCTCCTCCTCCTCACCTTGAGCTTCTAGTAGGTTCTGCACAACTTCCTCCAACCCAACCAGGTAGATGAACTCATTGTTAGCTGCACTGGGCAGGAAGCTCATTTCAGGAGCAGGAGGTTTGGGTGGAGGAATTTCCAGCAGGGTTTTCTCCAGCTGTTTCCGCAATGCCAACTTAGCAGCTGCTTGCCGACTGGCAGGAGAGTCGTTCGAGTTGACGATGGAAGCAACGCTGGTGGCGGTCGAAGCGTTCACCTGGGCGGACGTCCCAGCTGCACCTTTCAATGAAGTTGGGGAAGCCTGGGAAACGAAACGGGGGGAAGAAAAGTCTTTCTTATAACCATCCAATTCCACCACGCGCTACTCAAAAGAAAGCAGAGATCTATGCATAAGGTGGAATCTTCTCAGTGGAGGAAAAGGAATCTGAGACTTCCTGGGTACAAGCAGAGACCTAAATCATAAATGGAAAATCTGGTTCTTTCAAAATTGTAGGTAGTCCTCGACTTACAACAGTTCATTTAGTGACCGTTTGAAGTTACAACAGGATTTTAAAAAATTGATTTATGACCATTTTCCCCCACTTATGACCATTGCAGCATCCCTGTGGTTATGTGATCAAAATTCAGACGCTTGGCAACTGGTTCATATTTATGACTATTGCAATGTCCTGGCATCACATGGTCACCTTCTATGTCTTTCGGACAAGCAAAAGTCAATGGGGAAGCCAGATTCACTTAACAACCGTGTTACTAACTTAACAATTTCAGTGACCCACTTAACAACTGTGGAAAGCAAAGTTGTAAAATGGGGCAAAACTCGCTTAACAACTGTTTCACTCAAGAAGAGAAATGTTGGGCTCAATTGTGGTTGTAAATCGAGGACTACCCGTATTTCTATGAATGGGGGAAGGAATATCTGAGGGGTGTGGTGGCCAAGTGGTTAAGATGCTCACCTCCCACTTGGAAGGTTGAGAATTCCTAGGTAGCAGATGCTTCTCTCCTAGGGGGCAGAGAAAAAATATCTGCGTCATAGGCATCAGGAAGGGCATCCGGCCAGTAAACGCTCAGCTCCATTCAGTTGCCCAGTCTCTACCCCGAATTAAGGGATTACAGGGGCATAAAAAGAGAGTTTTAGGCAGGGGTGAAATGCTCCTGGTTTGGTCCAGTTCGCCCGAACCGGACCAAAAAGAAAGTTCCAACAACCAGGTGAGCGACGTGCGATCATCGGAACTTTTTTTTTTTTTCTACTTTTTACTTTATTAGCATTTTTTTACTACCAATTCTCCGGAACCAGTAATAAAAATGCTTTTAAAAAGTAAAAAAAAAGGCTCCGACAATCACAGCTGTGGCACGCAATCGTCACAGCCTTTGTTTTACCTTTTAAAAGCATTTTTTTTACAACCTATCTGGCCGAATAGGTTGTTAAAAAAATGCTTTTAAAAGGTAAAAAAAAGGCTCCGAAGATCACAGCTGTCGCGTGCTATTGTCAGAGCCTTTCTTTTTACTTTTAAAAGCATTTTTTTACAATTTATTTGGCCGAATAGGTTGGGCGTCCTCCTGGATTCATGGCTGTCTTTAGAAGAGTACTTGACGGCCGTGGCCGGGAGGATTTTTCATCAGGTTCGCCTGATCCGCCAGTTGCATTCCTTTCTGGATCGGGATTCCTTACACACGGTCACTCATGCCCTCGCCACCTCCCGCCTGGACTATTGTAACGCTCTCTACATGGGGCTCCCCTTGAGGAGCACCCGGAGGCTCCAACTGGTGCAGAGTGCGGCCGCGTGGGTGGTAATGGGAGCAACATGGCGTTCCCATGTAACACCCCTCCTGCGCAAGCTGCACTGGCTCCCGGTGGTCTTCCGGGTGGGCTTCAAGGTTTTGGTCACCACCTTTAAAGCGCTCCATGGCTTAGGACCTGGGTACTTGCGGGACCGCCTACTACCACCAATAGCCCCCTACCGGCCGGTACGCTCTCATAGAGAGGGGCTCCTCTGGGTGCCGTCGGCCAAACAATGTCGACTGGCGGCCCCCAGGGGGACAGCCTTCTCTGTGGGGGCACCTACTATCTGGAACGAGCTCCCCCCGGAGATACGGAGGATCCCGGATCTGCGCACCTTCCGCCACACTCTTAAGACCTTTTTATTCCACCAGGCGGGCCTGGCCTAACTTTCTCCCTCTTTTTAAATAATTTTTAAATATTTTTAATATTCAAAGTTTAATTTGTTTTAAATTGATTGGGGTTTTTTAATCTGTGTGGGCCAAACTATTTAATTCGATTTTATTTCTGCTTTTTAAAGTTTGTATGTATGTATTTTATTGTTGGCTGTTCACCGCCCTGAGTCCTTCGGGAGTAGGGCGGTATATAAATCAAATAAAAGTAAAGTAAAGTAAGTAAGTAAAAAATGCTTTTAAAAGGTTAAAAAAAGGCTCCGAAGATTGTGCGCCACAGCTGATCACACTCCTCCCTGCGCTGTTCTACTTACCCCATGCCTCCTCTTGGCATGCACGTGAGCGCAGGCACCTCACATTTGGTGTGTGGTGCGTATGCGCAGCCAGCGAACTGGTAGTAAACCGGTTCAGATTTCACCACTGGTTTTAGGGGAGGGAATATCTCTCATATTCACAACAGAATCAGCTCTATCAACCCACTCTGTAGCTATAGAAAATAGGAAGGAGATAAAACTATACCACTGAGTTACGAAAAGATCCTACAAGCATCCTCTAACAGTAGTCCTTGACATACGACCACAACTGAGCCCAACATTTCCACTGCTGAGCCAGACAATTGTTAAGTGAGTCACCATGCCTTGCTTTATGACCTTTTTGCCATGGTGAATCTGGCTTTCCCCGTTGACTTTGCTTGTTAGAAGCTGCCTAGGAAGGTTGCAGGTGACAATCCCAGGATTTTGGGATGCTGCAACCATCGTGAATACATGCCAGTTGCCAAGTACTTGAAGTTTGATCACGTGAGTGTCGGGATTCTTCAATGGTCATAAATTGAGAACTGGCAGAACCGTTGCAACTTTGAATGGTCATTAAACAAATGGGACTACCTGTATAGAGGCAAGGAAGGCATGTGTGCTTCTGATTGGACCTTCCTGAATGACGTCGGGAGGAAGAAAGGCTTAAGGGCAACATTGCTGCCTGCTTACCTGCGGGATGTTGACCAAAAGGCTCGCATTCGGGACATTGGCAACGCGGATGAGACCCTGCTGTATGATCCGCTGGCCCTGGATCTGCACGCTGGGAACGGAAGCCCGTGGAGCTAGGAGCAGCGGAGGAGGCCCCGAGCTGGAGTGCGGGCGGATGTTGTGGATTTGCTGGGGAGACACAGAGATGGACTGATACGGATGGATACGTGGGAGGACAAGATGGGTGGAGGGCGGGAAAAAGGGAGGGGGAGAAGGAAGGCCAAGCAAGGGGGAAGAGGAAGGGTGGGATGGTAACAACAAGATGCCGTGGGAGCAATGCGAAAAGGGGGGGGGAAGAAGGAAAGTAAGAAGGAAAAACTATTAGTTTATTATTTATTTTTTTAATCAAGAAAAAGGAATAAGCCCAAAGCCAACAGTGTGTGGCTTTATTTTCAGAACGGTTGGAAGATTTTCAGGATGCATCAGATTCTAACAGGAAGTGCTTTGTTTTGTTTTGCTCAGATAATCAAATAATTTAATATAAGCCTGGCAAAATAAGCTTTATAAAGGCGCTTCGATTTGCACCCCCTTTTTTCAGCACTCCACATGGTCGCTAAATGAATGTTCGTTAGCTGAGGACTGCCTGTAATGAATAGGCCTGAATGGCAGAAAGGCTGCGGGAATTTAAGAGCAGTGGATAATGGAAGCAAAGCAGGCGTGAGACCAACTCAACAAATGGCTCGACAAAGGTGGCATGGGGCAAGGCAAGAATGTGTAATGTTACATATGTGTTGTTGGGAATATGAATGTATGTACATTTGCAGCCAGGCAATACCATGGGGTTGACTGAACACACAAATTATTTGCAGTACATATTAGACAGAGTGTTGTGGATCTGATAATTAATGTGTCGAAATCCAAGGCAGTTGTGTTTGACAGGGATGGTAAAGTGTAGAGTAGATAAATGACAGAAAATTAGAAAAGATGAATTTTAAAATGTACTAGTAGAAAGCTGGTGAGTAGTATATGGTATTCTCTTGGTTAAAAGATGCAAAAATGGATACACATACAACCAATTTTGCCTCCTTTATTATACAGAGTAGAGATTGAGTACGTCAAGAGACACGGTCGTGATTTATTAAATGTATCTAAATGAAAAGCAATGGAAACAGGGTACTTAAGAAGTGTTACGTAGGAGAGAAAGGGTCAAGAATGAAAGGATTTTGAAGAAACATGGAGGGAGTACAAAAACAAGTGACCGGTCGGCATAATCATGACAATATATGATACTCATAAGTATAGAACAAATATATGGAAGAGGTAAATGTGTTGAGAGAGAGAGAAGGACTGAGGAAGTTGAAGTTTGATGGAGTTGATGAGCTCTTGAAAAAACGAGAGAGGTGAGAAGTTTAGTGAACAAAAGGCAAAGGAAGAAGTGATGGATGGCGCCTGAATGATACAGCAGCAGCAGGAATGGTTTGCCAGAACAGAATTTATTTATTTATTTATTTATTTATTTATTTATTTATTTATTTATTAAATTTCTATACCGCCCTTCTCCAAATAGGACTCAGGGCGGTGCACAGCCAAGGTAAAAACAGAGCATACAAAATTTAAAAACAATATTAAAATAATTAAATATTTGGCCGTAAATTAAAACAACCCAATTTAAAATCAATTTAAAATTTAACTCAAGCCAGAATGACACGGAGCGGTACTGTGAATGTGCAAAATACTTTTAACTAGTTTTCTTTTTCTTCTCTTACAACTTTAATTGCTTCATCTTGCTAATTTTTAAGTCATTTCATTTCTTCTGCCTTATTTCTGAGGGAATATTCCAAAAGCAATAACATCATGTATGTATGCATGCATGTCAGCTGCCTTAAGTTTGGCCAGAAGAGAAAGGATAGGGGATAACTCAAATTAATAAATAATAAACAACAGATCCAAGTTCTAGTGTCCCCTTGGCCACAAAATTATTTGAGGCTCCCTCATACGGTCATCGTTATGGAGCGCCAAATGAAGCCGAGACCATCATAGATTTGTCTCCCAGAAGAAAAGCACGGCGTATATAGATGAATCAGTTCATATGAAGCGTTTTTAACTGAATTACATGGCATGAATTCATTACATGAACTACATTTTGCTTACATGGCATTTTCTGAGAAGTGGGCATGGGCCAGCAATGCATTTGCTTTACACAAGTAATCCTTGTTTAGCGACAAATTGCGACTGGCAATTCAGTTGTTACACAAAACAGTTGTTAAGTGAAACTGTGACTGTGCTTATGATCTTTCTTCGGCTTTCCCTTGGTTTACAGGTCTGTGAAGGCGATATATCCAAGAATTGGCCGCAGAGTTACTTCTTCATCACCGTCGCAACTGTGAACGGTCACTAAACAAGGCAATAACTAAACAAAGACTACCTGTGCGGGGGAACTATCAAGGATAACAGAATTGGAAGGGACCTTGGAGGTCTTCTAGTCCAAGCCCCTGCTCAAGCAGGAGAACCTGCCTCATTTCAGACAAATGGCTGTCCAGTCTCTTCTTAAAAAACTGTAATGATGGAGCACCCACTGCTTCTGGAGATATGCCAATCCATTGAAGGGGCACCCAAACTCTGTCTTCTATGCAATATTCCTGTTTTTCAACCTTGGTAAGCTTAAGATGCATGGACTTCAACACCCAAAATTACCTAGCCAGCAAGACTAGCTGGAGAATTCTGGGAGTTGAAGTCCATGCATCTTTTAATTTGCCAAGGATTTAGGATTCCAACACTAAACACAACCAGTTATTTGACCCAACTCAGCCTCCCGTGCCCAGTATAACCCAGCCAGCAGCAACTCTCTGGGGTTTCAGTCAGAAAGGGATCTTTCCCAGCGAAGCAGAGATAATCAGGATCTTGGGAGAGGAAAGGTGATGTGTGCGGGAAGAAAGAAAAAAAGAAAGAATAAAAGGTACAACAATAGCTTACCTGTGCTCCTCGGACTAGAGGTGGCATGACTATTTGCGTGTTCTGTTGAGAGCCCAGCTTTGAAGATGTCTGCTGCCCACCCCGGATCAAAGGAGGAGGAATAACAGTCCCAGGAATACGTGAAGAAGCGTTCTGTTTTGGAAGGGAGGGGGTGGGTTGAGGAAGACAGGGAGTAGAGAGAAAAAAATGGTTTTGCTTTGTAACTGCAGACGGTCAAAGATCCATCAAGGGTCAAAGAAATATCTAGATTGAACAACCAAGAAGTAGATACAGACAGAGATAAAGATCCAAGAGAGGAATATGGGAGGCAAGTCAAAAAAAGCATAGCAATTAAAGTATTGAAGTGGGCAAGAGACGATGGATCAATGATTTCTCTGTTTTGTTGTTCTGATTTGCTTTTCTTTCTCTCTCTCTCTCTCTCTCTCTCTTTCTTTTCTTTTTTTAGGTAGGTGACATGACTAGAAGTTAGGTAGGACAGAAAGTTTTTAAATAAAGGGTGATATGATTAAAAGTTAGAATAAAAGATAGAAATAAGAGAGGGGGAATATTAGCGTATACACTTTTATATAATAAAAGCAATAACAAGAAAAAATATGGAATAATTGAATAATGATAGATTGTAACTTAATATGTTTATTATTATTAGAAATATATAAGTTGATTGAATGTAATAATTATGATTAATTTTACTAGTTCCTCAGGCACAAAGCCAGCTGGGTGATCTTGGACCAGTCACTGTCAGCCCAAGGAAAAGAGGCACTGGCAAACCACTTCTGAAGTCTTCCCAACAAAACTTCAGGGACTTATCCCAGCAGTCACCAGGAGTCAACCCTGATTTCAAGGCAATATCCTTCAATATTGAATTGAATATTGAATTAAATATTGAAGGCAAAAGTCTGGTAAACTCGCAAGATTCGTTTTTCTTGCCATGTACATGTATACATCCAAATTAGATTGTGTTGTTTCTCTGTCTCATATACTATATGTGGGAATATGCATAATTTTGTATTTATTTGTCTATTTATCTATTTAACTATCTAATCTATCTAGTCGTTTTTATGTAGTGTATGTTGGAGGTGGTGACCCTTTGAGAGTTGTATATATTTGTAAATATTGCTACAATTTAAAGGTAAAAGGCATGTATGTACATAAATAAATAATTATACTGTGTTTCCCTGAAAATAAGACTCTGTCTTATATTTTTTTTGAACCCTGAAATAAGCGCTTGGCCTTATTGCGATGTGCTCAAATGTCTGATTGGGCTTATTATCAGGGGATGTCTTATTTTGGGGGAAACAGGGTAATATAATTAAATTTATATAATTAAATAATTATATAATATATAGAAGAGTAATCTATAAAATTGGAAACTATGTAATTATGAGTAATACCGATATTGGAAAGCTGTAAAGAGTAGAAATGTGATGTAAACGTTGAAATATGTTTAATAAAAATTTATTTTAAAAAAAAGAGAGAGAGTTGTATGCAACGAAATTTCATTTTAATGTATGCCGATTGGTGTACATTAAAAGTGACAATAAAGTTATTCTAAGTTCTAAAAGAGGCAATGGCAAACCACTTCTGAAATCGTCCCAACAAAACTGCAGGGACTTATTCCCGCAGTCATCAGGAGTCAACCCTGATTTGAAGGCAGTATTAAAATTAATACATGTACAGCTTCGTTTCCAGTTTCTTTATCCGCTCAGAACTACTGTAGGAGCACAGACATTACAGGTGGTCCTTGACTTGCAACCAGTTGCTTAGTGGTTCATTAGTGTCCCAATGGAGCCTTCAAAAGATACCTATCACCTGGTTCCCACAGTCACATGACTCCATTTTGGGTGTTTGACAACCAGCCTGCATTTATGGCTGTTTGTAGCATCCTGAGGCTACATGACCGTGATTTATGACATTTTTGCTGAAAACCGGTGTTTATTTCCATTTTCAGCAAAAATGCCCCATAGCAAACCATGAGTCTGCTTAACAGTGTTTGCTTTATGACTGATGCAAAAAATCAGATCAGCCACATGGGTGACTTGCTTTACAACTGTCAAAACTTATGACCATAATCAGGAGATCCATCACAGGTGTAAATTGAGGATTACCTGTACTGAAGCAGCCTACAAGACTGAATTAATTAACAAAGACCTTTCTTACGCCCTCACCTGTAGAAGGGCTGACTTGCCGGATGCAATGTTCTGTGTTCCCCGCACTAATGGGGGAGGTGTTGCTACGGCATTTCCTGAGGAACCAGCAGGCTATGAAACAGACAAACACAGAGATATTAGAATAGAAGCAGACTATTCTGAATGCTCCCTTTTGGTTCTCCGTTTATGGGCAGTGAGTTTTCACTGCCAAAATGTGGTGCCAAAATGCCTGTATTTTTTGGTTGCACAACTTTAGCCCAGTTTTCAAAGAGCAGAGGGGAGAAGTGAAAGAAGGAAAGATGGCAATTTGCTTCCTGGAAGAGTGCTGCTTTCATTTACATCAGGGGTGTTCCACTAACTTTAAGACCTGTGGACTTCAACTCCCAGAATTCCCCAGCCAGCTTACACTGATTTACATCCTTGAAAAAAAAAAAAAAAACAAGGAACACACTGTGCCACTCTCGGAATGTCACCCTATTACTGAATGGCTTCTTGCAGATCCCCATATCCAGCTGTCAGGGATGGACAGTTTAAAAAAAAATGCTAGTAGCCTCCATTATAATAATTAGCATATCTTTTCTCTTTACATCTTTACTTCTCCTTTCTCTCTGCCCAGCCTTAGAGCATCATTTTTTTTATTTTTTTAAAATTTTATTTATATGCTGCCCTTCTCTGGAGACTCAGGGCGTCTTACAATGCGTTAAGTGCCTTATAATGCCTTCATACTTTTGTATATTTATACAAAGTCAGCTTATTGCCTGTACAAACTGGGTCCTCAATTTACCTACCTTAGAAAGGATGGAAGGCTGAGTCAACCTTGAGCCTGGTGAGATTCGAACTTACAGTAATTGCAGACAGCTGGTGTTAATCACAATGCTATCAGTCTGCTGAGCCACCAGGCCCTTTTATAGCTCAAATTCCAGTGACCAGGAGTTCTATAAATAAATCTTAAAAGTTGTGCTTAAATAGGAAGGGAGAGGAAGTTTGAAGGCCGGAAATGGTCCCCGAGGTAATCAATGCCTGAGTGGTAGACAGGTGAGAAAGACCATATATAAACTCCAAATAGAGAAGAAGAAGAAAGAAAAAAATAAGGCAGAATCTGCTCACCTTTTGGGCTGTTGTTTCCTTTTGTATCTGACTTTGTCGTAATTTTTTCAGTAAGACAAGTTTGGCTTCTTCTAACCGCAGTTCTTCCTTCAGCTGTTTAATCATTCGTTCCCGTTCCTCTGGGCTGCTTTTCTACAAGGAAGAATTGGAAGAAAAAGTTTGAATTTCGTTGAGGGAGGGAGGGAGGGGGAGAGTCAAATTAGAGAGGATGACAGAAGGGCTGACTTTAAAAGAGTGATTTGAAGATGAGAGAGAGAGGAAGGGGGAGGACGGAGAGGGACAGACCAGGAGGGGGGGGAGAGGGAGAGAGAGAGAGAAAGAGATGGAGAGAGAGAGAGAGAGAGAGAGAGAGAGAGAGGGAGGGAGGGAGGGAGGGAGGGAGAGGGACAGAGAGAAAGAGAAGAGTACAAGAACCAATGTGACTTTGGCCAGCCTCCTCTAACCCAGTGTCCTACAGATATGTTAAAGGACAACTGTCAAAGTTCCCAGTCAGCAGTGACAGGATTGACATCATCCCAAGAGGGAATAAGGCAGGGGAAGGACGACTTTAGTGCTGCAGGAGAAATTCCAGGCATGAGGGCCAAAAAGGGACAGGCGGATGGTTCATGTAAGTGGCCCAGGCATAAAGAACAGAAAAAGCAGAGTCATGGTATGGGAGTAGTGGGAGAATTTTGAGCAGCTGGTACACCTGAAATGGATGAGAAATTCATGCACTTCAATTGAAGGAATAGAATGAAGCAGGAAGTTGGATGAAGAGGGAGAGCAGAGCCAGGGAGATAGGAAGCCAGCAGAGGAATCACAGTGGAGAAAACCCTCCTAGCATCAAAGCAGAGGACACAATTAGTTTTTGCCAATGGAAAGAGAAAAGTCAATATTATGTACTGCTTGTGCTGAAGAAATGATAGGATGCAGATGGGAGGAGTCCCCCAAGACAAACCTGTGATTTACCAGGCCAGAAGATCTGAACTTATCAAGGGACGGGACGGGACGGGACGGGGACAGGAACAGTCAGTTTGCTCTGTTTTATGACTGCTGGGTCAGACTTACCATTAGCACTTCTGCGCTGGTCTCTTTTAATGCTATTTTGGTTAATCCATTCATTCTTGGGCTTGACGGCTCGTTGTCCGATAGTACTATTACATCAGGAGAAGGGACTCTCCTCTCTCGCTTTACCTCACTAAAAAAAAAAAAAAAAGAAGGTACATGAACAGGGATATATTTAAGGAAAAGGATGAATATATCCTAAGACACCCCTCCTCCCCATCCTCTCCCCACTCCATAATGTGTATTTAGGTCTATTTAGGGGGAAAACAAAATGACACTTCCGCCTTCCAGATCCTACTTAATGTGGCTGCAAGAGGGTGAGAGAGAGATTCAGAAAGCAAACTAGGGATTCCATAAGACAGGGGTCCCCAAACTTGGCAGCTTTAAGACTTGTGGACTTCAACTCCCAGAATTCTCCAGCCAGCATAGCTTAGCTTAGCATAGCTGGCTGGAGAATTCTGGGAGTTGAAGTCCACAAGTCTTAAAGCTGCCAAGTTTGTAGACCTCTGCCATAAGAGAACCAGGGCCTCTTATGATGATTCCTTGACTTTCCAAGGCTAAGAGAAAACCAGAATAAATGAATTATATAAAGTGCATTTGCAATTTATGAAGCAGTCAAATAAACTGCCTTTTGAACACAGAGAACTTGAAATGGCATATGGTATGGTCATGTGATTCTCTGGTATCTTTTTTGAGGTGTGTTTTAATGCAAAGAAGTAGATTTATGAGAAATCTCTTAAGTGTTAAAGATGTTGATGTGATATCAAATGATGTATAAAGCTTTGGAACCTGTTTATCAAGAATTAGGGTTGATCAAGCATGGCGGGGTGACTAAAAGAATTATACTGAGAAATTGGAAAGGAAATATTCCAGATGTTAAAGAATGGAATGTCATTTGGAAATGTGAGATTTACCCATTCTGGAAAAAGTAGTATTTTTCTGCCATTCAAATAATGAAGCAATATATACTGCTTTGGCACAGAGTTTGTGAAATTTTACAATAATATTTTCTATTGATTTTATAATAATATTTATTATTAAATCAGTGATTATTGAGGTTTAATAGATAAGGTAGATTTTTCTTTTCTTTGTTCTTTATCATTTTTTGCTTTTCATTATCTGTTCTTTAAGCTTAAGAACGATTACATTTCATCGTATTGTTAAAGTGTTTTTTTTTCATGTTTTGTCAATATTTCACATTTTGAAAACTAGCAAAGAAAAATCTTTCTTCTTCTTCATAGGAAGAAGAAACTGGTTCACCTTCACTTGATTTTCTGCAAGAGTAAGAAACATACAGATTTTCTCAGAGCTTCAAGATAGCCAATTGCCACTAAGATAGCCTTCAAACTACCATCTAAAAAGTTCCTGAAGGCAACTGCAGAAAGTTACTTAATTAAAGGCTTGTTTCTGAGTTTGAACAAGTCAATATAGTAGTACTTATCCCCAGATGGATTCAACTGACTTTCCCTCCCCCACACTTCTGCAGTGGAATGGTCTGAGGGGGCATCACCAGGTGCTTAACAAGGAAATATACCAAGAAGTTTTTGTGGAAGTGAAACTTCCATCCCAAGAAGAGGATTGTTAATAGCTGATCTAAAGCATCTCAGGTGAAAATGGCAGTACATACAAATTCCCCTAGAGGGCACCCTCATAAAGCAATATTTCACTCTTGAGCCTTAAAAGTTGAAATCCAGAATCAAAAGGGGAGGGGGAGTCTTTCCCCTAGTTCTTACACCAGACTCACGAACAATTGAATTTGGAAAAGGCACGGCGCACAGGATTCAAATTAATATTACAAGAGGACATTTCTATCTTGCACATGTTACATCTGAACTACATACCATTTGTATGTTTTCAAACAATGAATGGGCTTCAGCCCAAGGCAACATTTAAACATTTCATTTCTTTTAAATTATGAAGATCCAAGGAACCTCTAAGTATAGAATTCTGCAAAATTAGACTTTGAGAGACCGTGTTTGTGGAGAAAACCAACCCTAAATGCTCTGAGAATGCTATATTTTCCTTCCACCCCGTGTTATAACGTAACTGGTTATACTGTTGTTTGATCGTATTAAAGGTTTGATTTGATATGTAACTGGTCATATGTCTCTTTTCTCCTAACTTTCCTGCGAAAAATTCTAATTGCTCTAATTTTTTGAAATTCTAGATAATTTTATTTTGATGGAATGGACGTATATGATTGATTGCATACTTGATATGGAATCTGAAATTGTTGCCAATCCCTTGCCAGCCCCAATTATCACCTTTTTGTTGTTGTTCAGTTGCTAAGTCATGTCCGACTCTTCGTGGCCCCATGGACCATAACATGCCAGGTTTCCCCCACCCATCCTCCACCATCTTCCAAAGTTTGTCCAAATTCATTTTCAAATTATCACCTTACCTGAAGGAAAAGGTCTTGAGAATACTAAACTCCCAAAGGTGTTTTTCAAAAAGCAACTGGACTTTTGTTTTTTTTTCCTTGAAGATGTTTCGCTTCTGATACAAGAAGCTTCCTTCAGCCTTCTTAAGAACTGAAGAAGCTTCTTGGATGAGAAGCGAAACATCTTCAAGGAAAAAACAAAAGAAGTCTAGTTACCTTTTGAAAAAGCACCTTTGGGACAACCATGACTGGATGACTGAGAATCTCCATAGACATTGAGAATACTGAAGCTTCCTCTGAACATTCAATTTTATTGTAAGGGGGGTGGGGAGGATGAAGGGGACTAGGTTGTTATGAGTGAGAAGTTTGGAAAGGAATTGTTGTTAGTTGTGAAGTCGTGTCCAACCCATCGTGACCCCATGGACAACGTTCCTCCAGGCCTTCCTGTCCTCTACCGTTATCTGGAGTCCATTTAAGCTCATGCCGACTGCTTCAGTGACTCCATCCAGCCACCTCGTTCTCTGCCGTCCCCTTCTTCTTTTGCCCTCCATCTTTCCCAGCATTAGGCTCTTCTCCAGTGATGGGATTCAAGTAATTTAACAACCGGTTCTCTGCCCTAATGATTTCTTCCAACAACCAGTTTGCCAAACTGCTCAGAAAGTTAACAACCGGTTCTCCCGAGGTGGTGCAAACCGGCTGAATCCCAGCACTGAGTGAGTCCTTCCTTCTCATTAGGCGGCCACAGTATTTGAGTTTCATCTTCAGGATCTGGCCTTCTAAAGAGCAGTCAGGGTTGATCTCCTCTAGGACTAACCGGTTTGATTGCCTTGCAGTCCAAAGGACTTGCAGGAGTCTTCTCCAGCACCAGAGTTCAAAGGCTTCAATAACCAGGATTAATTTCAAAGCAGCAGTGCAACATTGTAAGATCTCTTAGAAGTAACTGATGCAATGAAAGCTAATTCCTTTGAAAAAAGGGCAACTCCTAGGAAAACTTTTTTGTCAGTATGTGTGGCATCAATTGTAGGGAGATGAACTGGGTTGAGAGTGGGGCCAAGCATATTATCAGTATGGAGTCACTGCGCTCCCACAGGAGAACCAAATTCAGCCCCCCATCCCCTGAATTCCGTTGACCCTTATCTAGCACTAATTTGGCTTGACCAAATTATAGATTGTCTATAGGGAGAATGTAATAAACTTTGAACTCAACTCCTGTTCCTGGTTACAGGTAGTCCTTGACTTACAACAGTTTGTTAGTGACTGTCCAAAGTTACAACGGCACTGGAAAAAGTAAATTTTTTTACTTTTACTTACTGCAGCTACTTCAGCTGACTGCTAGTTCAGCAGATCAGCGGATCAAATCTCACCGGCTCAAGGTTGACTCAGCCTTCCATCCTTCCGAGGAGGGTAAAATGAGGACCCAGATTGTTGGGGGCAATATGCTATTTAGTATACTGTCTTTGGTGTAAGCCGCCCAGAGTCCTTGGAGAGTGGGCGGCATAGAAATATGAATAATAAAATAATTAAAATAATAAATAAATAAATTATGACCAATTTTCACTCATGAGAGTTGCAGTGTCCCAGAGTCATGGGATCACCTTTTACGACTTTCTGTCAAGCAAAGCCAATGGGGAAGCCGGATTCACTTAACAAACCTGTTGCTACCTTTAACAATTGCAGTGATTCACTTAACAACAAAGGCAAGAAAGGTCGTAAAATGAAGCAAAACTCACTTAACTAATGTTTCAATTAGCAACATAAATTTTAGGCTCAATTGTGGTCGTAAATTGAGGACTAATTGTACTTGTGCCAGATGTCAAACCTCTCATAAAACTTGCAGATGTAATTTCCCTAGACAACAAGACTTTTCATTTGCCAACCAGAGGATTTGCCTTTTGCCTGACATTTAAGAGAGATTGAACAGATCCTGAAATAATCACGTTCGGGAGAGGTTTGTAAGGGGGATTTCAAGTCGGAAACCTGGTCTCTGCTTTCAACAGAGAAGTTGCTGGTCCTCTTCATAGTCCAGATGTGACAGAATTAAGTTTCCTGATCGAGGACCGGAAACCCTTTATGGGCTTTTTGCATAAAAAAAGAAAATGATTCTGTACGGTTTTGAGGATTAGAATCAATTGATTATAGAAAGAAGGAAACAATGATGTAATTAAGAGAGAGAGGTTTGAATTGAATTGTTTGTATAATGGCTAAAAGAAAAATCGGAAACCATCTTATATTTCTTTTCATGTTTTTGTTTATTTTTTCCGCTTTTCTCTACTCCCATCTCTCTCAAAGAGGGACTCTGTTTTCTATTCTATGGTTTCTTTTCATTTTCTTCTATTTCTCTCTTTTCTCCCTTTCTTATTTCACTTTCACATTTACTGTACCTTTTGCTTTGAATGTACTCTTCATTATAGATGTAAAACCTTTTAATATAAATTTAAAAAGTAGAAAGTTTCCTGTATTTGCAAGAAGTTTTTCATCAGGAACACAACATGGCCGGGGTGGGGGGTGGGGATGGGTCACCTGAGCCACCTCTTGATCCACTATCATCACAAAAAGCTTGTTTCCTCTATTCTAACAAGCATCCAACACGCCATGTGACTGATTGGGACATGCTTTGCCACTCACGTGACCCTTTTAACCGTTCCTTCCCACGTAGTGGAAAAGCTATGGTAACAAACCGGTTGGAACTGGTTTTGTGACACATCGCTTTCATTTTGTGGAATGGTGAGGCGGGGGGGGGGGATGATTAAGAC